TAAACACACCAGAGCATATGGGATACATGCTTATTATTTCAAACCTCTTCAGGTATGGAATACCTACAGTTATGCATGGTCGGTTTGGATACAGGAAATAACCCTTGGGATATACAATATATCTTCCCTTGGTCCCTTCGGTCCCTCGGGAAGATATATTGTATATCCCTCGGGTTATTCCCTGTATCCAAAACCTCCCAGTGCATAACCCCTATGTATGTCATGGCTAAAACACCGTATGCTATGGTTAAGTGAAAAGAAGGAGGGAAATTAGTGCAACAGATTTTGGACAGTCATATTTTGGATTTTGGCCATTTTCTGAGGATTTAAACAATTGCATATGTTAGGCCAATGCATTACCCCCAGGAAAATCACTTCTAGAGATGATAAAATAATTTCGACTTTGAGACAGGGTAGATGCAAACAACCCACCCACATGTTTTTTTCTGAAATGTTTTCCTAATTTTCGACCCCTTCCACCCCTGCTTTTTCAATTTTTCTTGCATCAATATGTTGTTCTTTAAAGGAATAAGTGATTCCTTTAGGGGTTTTAAAGATACCCATTATGGGTGACCAAACTTAGCTGAAAGCAATGGTTTTTCCTATGGGAAAATAACATGGGAAATATTGTTTTCCACTTTATCTAAAAGGAATCATTTATTCCTTTTAAGGGATTATCTGTGTGTCAAAATGCTACATATCAATGCAAGAAAAATTAATAAAAAAGCAGGGATGGAAGGGGTTGAAAATCAGGAAAACATTTCAGAAAAAACATGTGGGTGGGTTGTTTGCATCTACCCTGTCTCAAAGTCAAAATTATTTTATCATCTCTAGAAGTGATTTTCTTGGAGCTAATGCACTCGCCTAACATATGCACCTGTTTAAATCTCCAGGAAATGGCCAAAATCAAACATATGACTGTCCAAAATCTGTTGCACTAACTTCCCTCCTCCTTTGCCAAAAATATCATATTTTACCACTGATTTAAAAAATACCGTTTTTATTTTGACATGTTATCCTATGGATATCATGATAACTATGGAATAATATAGGAATATCCTATGGCTCTGAAAAAATATCACTTATATCCATGAGTGGATATTGATATCTTCGCGAGTGAGCGCAGCGAATGAGTGAAGATATTGATATCCATGAGTAGATATAAGTGATATTTTTGAAAAAGCATAGGATTGTCCGTTTATCCCATTGGGAATTATTATCCCGCGAATATTGAATAGTCAGATAAATTGCAATGGAAATTCCATTTCGTCTGAGATTTTGATTGCGATAATTCAACGAACGTCATATACGTGACGTAACAGAGTGGTTTGTATTTAATGCGAACGCCGTAAAAACAAGATCCCAAAAAAATAAAAATATATAATAAATATATAAACAATCGTTTTGCTGAATTAATAAAAAAATTGAAAAAATCAAAACCATCGAATATCACTTTTGAAACCATCGAATATCACTTTTGAAACCATCGAATATCACCTTTCAAAAAGTGATATTCGATGGTTTCAAAAGTGATATTCGATGATTTGGGAATTGTTTGCTAAAATATGATATCTTCATCCACGTATCAATTATATCTTCACGTGATATTCGATCTATATCCTTGTAACCATGGGATAAATAAGGGTTATGTACTGGGAGGTTTTGGATATGGGGTTTTTCCAGAGTGAGATATGCATATCTACCTGAGGGACCGTAGGGACAGAAAGTAGATGTGCATATCTCACGAGGGATGAACCCAATATCCAAACCGACCGTACATAACTGCTTTATCCTATACCAAGTAGAGTTTTTAGTAGTACAAGGTGTAAAAAATAAACAAATCATTCATATGCAAAGTCATTTTATTGCATTTCCACTTTTTTGGAAGCGGGAAGATACGCCCCGAAGCGGGAAGATATGCACCGAAGCGGGAGATATGACGGGAGATATGGAGGTTCTTGATATGGAAACCTCAAAATCAGAATACAGGATATATCTTACCAACTTATCTCCCTAAAACCCTACTTGGCATAGGATAAATAGAGATTATCCTATATGAGGTTCAGGATATTGGGATTATCCCGAGGCTAATATAATATATTTGCCCGAGGGCCGCAGGTCCCGAGGGAAAATATATTATATTGGCCAAGGGATAATCCCAATATCCTGAACCGACTATAGGATAATATGTTTATCCCATACCAATCTTGGTCATCTGGTTCACATTGTTCAATCGTGGAAATATTCTAGAATAGTCATGTCCAGTTTTGTTTTCTTGGCCGTGGGCGGATTTTTTTGTTCTCTCAAATATTCCCACATTTATTTTCTCGAATTTTTTAAGTGAATGCTCCTTCCATTTTTTAAACCATCAAACAGATCGCCGTTGTCGTTTACAGTCATTACGCGAACGTTACAAATTTTGAACAAATATGCGAGCGGCGATTATGACGTAGCGGGCAGATATACTATATCTGCCCGCTCAGAGCGGGACGTAAAGCTATATCTGCCCGCTGATGAAAATATAAGTTTTTACAAACCGGCTTTATGTACCTGTAACACGTCCAAGTATGGGATAAATCAAGATAATTTCTACTCGCATCTAGTCTATTCCACATGTTTGGGAAAAGTGTACAGGAAAATCTCCATGTTCAATTACTCAGATGCGAGTAGGTAGTTACCAGTTTCGCCACCATGTGGCTGATTCGGGGGAAATAACATGGCAAGGTATTACAAAATTCCCTTAAACTTGAATATGCATCAGTTTTAGTGGTTCACTTTTGAAATTACCCTTATCGTATGTGATAGTTATACAAATTAAAATATGTCCAGTAAAAGAAAATATTATCTGCCCAACACAAGAAACGATATTTCGCTTTTTGTAGTTTTACAACATGGGGTCTATGGGGAATCTCCCCGACCTAGAAATCACATTGTCAAAGAAAATTAAATTTTCAAAGTTGATAAACTATTTTCAAAACCACATTTTTAGATGACATTTTATATGTAGATTCCAAATATGACACCAGTTTGACAGAATTGTGAATTTTTAATGACGTAAATCAAGATTATTTCTACTCGCATCTAGGATATTGATGTATGATCAATATATACGAATCGAATGTATTATCGTGTGCATTACAATATCCACATTGAAACATTTTTGGCCTGCAATGGACGTATAATGAATTAGAATATGAGGCCGTGTTATCATTCTAATGTAAAGTCATTGTATTTACTGTGGTATTGGGTTGCAAGTTAATATCAGATTCAATGCAAATTAATCATCTAATATCAGATGCGCGATCAGTCCTATAATCTAATTTCAGGTCATCAGTTCGATATCTAGCACTTGTTCTAACGACACGGTATTACTAGGCTATCATATTATAAATACACACACATATAAAACAATCAAACTGGTACACGATATAAGCACGACTGCTCTTTCAATTGAGTATAAATGTTGATAAACTTACCCGGAAGCCAAGACATACACGTTTAGACGATGCTATTTTCAGTTCAGTGTAAGAGTAAATGCCCGGATATCGAGGCTTTTTCGTGTAAAGTTTTAACCAAGCATCTAAAATCGGGTTATATTGCGTGTAGAATTTATCGATATCAGGGCCGCTACATGCCAGTGAGCTCTGTACACTTGTAATACCTACTGTGACATAATAATCTTTTTGGATGGTCTATATGATAACAGTTGATATATTTCAAAGTACTGTAGTTCATATATTTTTTTATTTTCCCAATGGACGAAGTTCGGTAGGGATAAAGTGAAGCCCTCCGTCTGTCAGTCCGTTCGTCCATCTGTCCATCCATCCGTCTATCATTTTATCCGTCCCTCTGGAAGGTAACTCAAATACTAGTAAACAGATTTGCTATAAAATTGGTGGAAAGACGTATATTGGACCATTGGTGAATAGTTTTCTGCAAAATCATTTTTCAAGATGGCCGCCTCTTTAGAAATGACGGGAATATTTAGGCAAAAATCTTTAGATTTTCATTTTAAACCAAAGAAATGAATATCATTGTTTGAAATTTTGAAAGTATTTTTAGAACATCTATCTTTGTCACATATAATCCGAGTTTTTCAATTAGATCTAATATATTTTCTTTATTATTTGTGCCTTTGAAACTCTTAAATGGTCACCAAAATACTTAAATATCTCTAATGTATGTAATTTGTTATCTACCAACTATATTTTCAAGGGAAGAGTAGAAATACAGATTCATATAATATATGTTATAGTGTTCGTTGGGATTTGTTACTCCGTTGATTTGCTTTTTTCTAGTTCTTATTTGTGCATGACTGAAGTCAGAAGTTACTTTCAAAAGCAAAATTCTTTATTTTTATTGGCAAACTAAACTCACCGCTTTATATACCATAGAAAGATTTTCTTTAAGGTACATTCTGTACTTTACATTTTTAGTTGTCCTTATCACTAAAAATGCTTGTCCTGAAATCAAATTATCACATCGGATAATATGAGGTTATATAATGGTTCTTTCTGTATATCGTGTTTATACTCGAGTGAGTATATGATATATTCACAAGTGAGCGTAGCGAACGAGTGAATATATTATATTCTCACGAGAGTATAAAATTCACGATATACAGAATGAACCATTATATAATCTTATTATGCCACTCTAAGTTCAATTACAGTTGATTCGAACACAATCATAACAATTAAAAACCATAAAAATATCCCATAGCCAACTCAATAATGCTGATGTTGATCTCGAACCATTTATGACGTTGCTTGATTCTAGCAAATCATGCCGGAACCATTTATTAGGTCACTTGATTCTAATAAATCATGAAAATGTTCATGATTTTTTTATTCATTAGTTCCCAGAATGCACTTCTACAGTGGTATACGCTAGAGTGTATACGGAGGAGTTGTATACGATGACGATATACCACTCTCCACTGTATATCGTTGTTATAGACCCATGTTATACAACTGTAATTGGACTTAGAGTGGTATAACAGAGTATAGTATTGTCATCAATTCAGCATACTATTGGCAAAAGATGCATGAGGTATTACATGTGACTTTGTCTTAAACAATATTAATACAAAAATGAATATAAATTTGTTTTTTTTTCTATTTAAGTAATTTATCTAATTAGGGTCTCCATTTTTTGTGACAGCGCTTGACAGACTTTATATTTAAGATTTGACCTTCAGTGACCTGTTCAAGGTCAAAAAAGGTCAAAAAGGTCAAAAAGGTCTTTTTTCAACTTGCTTCAAATTGACCAATTTCTTTTTTCAAAATCATGTACACGTTATCAGAAGTTCAAATCTGACTTTAAATTTGAGTTTTTACCTTCAATGACCTTCTCAAGTTCAAAAAAGGTATTTTTTCAACTTGCTTCAAATTGACCAATTTTTTTTTTCAAAATCATCTACAAGTTCTCAGGAATTCAAATTAGATTGAACTAATGATATTGTGAGCAACTAGGTGGTGACATTTTGTCACATTAATGCCTTGCACGTGTTAAGCAGTTCATAATGCGTGTTTTGACAAACTTGTAGTGCATTGTATCAGTTGTGTATGAATGGTCACAAAGCTGGTTAATTAATTGGAATTACAAATATTATTTGAAGCTTGCGCTAAAAGCAAAACAAGACTGATTGGGAAGCTAAGATAATGTTACAATTTGGGAGGATAAATTGATACAGCACAGAATTAATTTTAAACGTGCTCAGTTAACATAATAGTTCAATACAACTGTAGCTATAATAGGCCTGCATGGCTGATACAGACAGGATGATATATCATTATAAGGCTGAGTATTGAATATAAGGCTGCTTTAGAAGTGCCGTAGTGCCGGATCGCAGAAGAGTAGTTTTTGAGGTGAAGTTAATTATAAGTGTATTATAAAATCTCCAAGTCAATCAAATCAATTATCTGCTGACTTAACCACGTCAGCCCAAGTGATTGGTTATATATATCAGAATATAACACGCTGGGATAGATAATAGAAGGATTGTTTTAATTCAGGTGCAGTGACGGAAGATCCCGCCCTGACGTGAAGCCGTGAAGATGCCGCCAAGTTCAGGGGAGTTATGGGGCCATCATTTGATGCCTACACAGATTAATGTTGACTGTCTCATGCCTAATGGTATGATCATTCTACTTAAGTGTAACAGGTATGTTCTCATTACATCTATTTTGGTTCTGTTTTAGTGTGTTTAATGCGTGTCCTTATTTTTGAAACCATTTCAGACTAGTAACTTTTATTTTTTACTCTGAGCAATGCATTATATGGTTTCACATCGATTTTTTTTTAATTAACAATGAATTGTGTTTATCAAGAGGTTTTTGAATGAAATCATAAATTATGTATCTGTGATGACGTCTCTGTTATTTTTTGAGAGATGCATTATCTGAGTTCTCTCTGTGCATCATGACAAACCAATTCATTTCTCATTTTCCAAAAAACCATGGCATATCCTCAAGACTTGTTACATGGATTACATTTATATTGAAGTTTTATTATGTCACCACCAAAAAGTGGTAACATATTGTTATGGTCTCAGTTTTTTATGATGGCGGTTGGTAGTTGGTGATAGGCAGTCGGCATTTGGCATCTGTAGCAATTCTTAAAACGTCCAATAACTTAACAAATACTGTTTAGAATGACTTCAGTTTTGTTCAAAATCATCTACAAGTTTTCAGAAGTTCAAATCTGACTTTATATTTAAGATTTGACCCTCGGTGACCTTTTCAAGGTCAAAAAAGGTCAAAAAGGTATTTTTTCAACTTGGTTCAAATTGACCAAATTCTTTTTCAAATCATCTACAAGTTCTCCTAAATTCAAATCTGACTTAAGATTGAACTAACAATATTGTCAGCAACTAGGTGGTGACATTTTGTCATGTTAATGCCTTGGATATATATTTGTTCTCCTCTACTTAATATCAATTTTTTATATTTTTTGTGAAATTTTTGAGAAATTAAGAACTTGAATTCTTGGGTGAAATATTTGTCAAAAAACATCAGAGTATCAGAGCAAGTCTTCCTTGTTAGGACAAAAACAATTTTGGCTTTGGATTTACTATCTGGGAAACACAAATGGCACAATAACCCAGATGCACTTACTTGTTTTTATATGTAGTACTTTGTGATACAGGATCATGTCTGTTTCAAATAATTATTTTCATCAACTAAATCCATCTCATATCCTCCACACTAATCATTGTTAAGGCTCATATGAAATTATAAATAGTGGGAATATACTTCATAAAACAAGTACTCGCAAGTCATTTATATTAAAGAGAACCTGATAACCAAGTTTTTATATCATATATCAAGTAATGAGGACTATATGACATGACATGAAACATGCAGTTGGAATGATTGTAATAATGGGTGATTCAGGTGCAGTCTGGTAGAATTACTAGAATCAGAATTACCAAGAATGAGTAAAGCTCTTAACTTTATATTATGGTAACCCTGGTATCCAAATCTCTACACCTACTTCTTGTGCTCGTATTTGGATTATTAATATTTTTCATATTTTTTAATAAATGAATTCAACATACTTGAAGCTTTAATACTAATTGCATTGTGATTGGTAACACCATAGCTTGTTGCATTGCCATGCTCCTGCGCAAAAAGTTCCATTGCACAATTAAATTAATCATAACTGAAAATTGTTTTATTTCTTATAACTGACATTATCAGTCTTACACGTAGAAACACATGAATATTAGGATAGAGTTTGCCAATAAGTGGATGAAATCTAAGCTAAGATCTAAATCCAAGATAAGATAATGTCATAAATATAACTGATGAAGAAAGTAGACAAGAAACTGACTGTAATTAATCCTGAGTATATGGTTGGCATATCAGGTCTATCAATATCTGAACTGAATTGACTCCCAGATGTTTTTCAGTTTATCAGTTTATTATTTTAATAAGCAGGCTAATGGCCTAGTCACATAGCCCGGCCGATGTCCGGCATCGGTAGAGCTCGGTGGATTTTTTTGGTGCCACCGAGCTCTCCTCATCGGAAGCAGAGCTCGGTGACGTGAACGGACTCCGTCCGGACATCTTCAGGCGACCGACCGAACACCGGCCGGTGACCGTACGGAGTCTGTCTCAAAATGGTAGTTTTTTTCTGCCGATGTGGCAGCAACTACCGGCCGGAGGTCGGCCGGACATCGGAAGGAATACGGCCGGTACCCGAGCAGGTAACAGGACACCGTGCGATCGCCGGCCGGGTTGTTAACGGGCTTTGAACAGTGACCGGCCGATGCTCTGTCCCACATCGGCCGGAGCTCGGTCGGAGCTCGGCCGCTTTCCGTTAAAAAACCTCGTCCTCTGGTTGTCTCAGATGCACGGGACACCGGCCGATACTCGGCCGTGCACCGGCCGACGTGTTTTCCGATGTGGTTACGATGGGGCTGCGATGACATGAAGAGGGAGCTCGGTGAGAGCCCGGTGAAATTTAACTCCGAAGTTAAAATTTCACCGAGCTACCACCGATGCGGTTTTAAGCAACAAACGCCACGGATGTCCGGCCGGTGTTCGGCCGAGTTCGGTGAAAATTGCATCGCTGGCTCATCGTAACCTCATCGGCCGGGCTATGTGACTAGGCCATAAAGTCAGCATATTTTGTTTTTCTAGCTTGTTTTTCTATCCTTGGTCTTATTTATCCTTGGTTTGTGCCAAATGACCATGGATCCTGGATAATAATGATTTTATTTTACATTTCTGTGTGACAAATCGTGACAAATCTGCTTCTTCATACCTTTAGTACTGCATATCAGATGTGCATGTCAATCTGATACTGCAATTCATATATGGTTCTGCAGTTCCTACTGCTTTTCAAATCTCATACTGCATGCCATATATGTCGTGTTACGGATGTTATTTATTCATACTTGCACTCGTAGACTATAGTGGACAAAAATAAGAACTTATTAAGTACTTTCCATCGAATTTGTAATATATTTAAAGGGCAAGCATAACATCTCTTAACGCATTGTTTTCAAAATGATCAATTAACTATATGTGACAAATTGTTACAGTTTTGTAACCATTTGTACTTGGTCACATTTTTTTTCAATTTGATATCTTGTTTATGTTATATTTTTTCATTTATTTATATCAACAGAGATAATTATATGTCTAACTTAGAAATTACAAAATAATTATTTATAAATGTATTTTGTCAGATCATATAAAAAATATTATGTTTCCATTTGCCTACAATGAGGCAAAAGCTTTGAAATTCAGTTACCTAGCAACAGTGATGCTCAAAGTAGTTGTTGACGTAAATTCATTTATCAGTTTACGAGCAACATGCTACAACTATATAGGATAACTAAAAAATATACTGTTTGTAAACAAAATGTTGACCTGATAAGTTGAAATTCTTGCCTTATTTTAGTGATGAGATATTTCCCAAATGAATGGATCTTTTATTAGGTTTACTAGTTTTTGCCAATTTTTGATTATTAGATGGGATTTGGACTTTTGGATGAGAAAAACATTAATATCCTGTGTATTCAAGTTAATCTAATGGTATTTCATAATAATAGATATTGGAATATGATGGTATACAGTAATATAACACAAAACATATTCATGAAGATGATTCTATGATTTCTAACAAATACCACTCAGTACAAATGGACCAAATCCCTTAAATCCATATAAATTGAAAAAACTTACTAGCAGATCTATTTAGGTTAATTAATTTCACAGCCAACAGATGATATTAGATACATAATAAAAGATACTATTCATCTTAGCTTCTATTTAAATCTAGGACAATTTCTGTGAAAGAATTGCCAATGTAACAATGAATATTTTTTTGTTTCTGAATACAATTACCTAGTTATCTAGTTACATTGTTGTAAGCATCAAGAACCTTTCTTACAAAAATGAATTGTGTTACTTGCGACAATCCCTGGAAAGAATTAATGCATTATGAAGTGATAACTGATATGCAATGTGAGAATTAATAATTAAAAGGTTTCTATTCCATTGATATGTTTTTAATAAAAGCTATAAGAAAGAGCTAATTCACGAGGAACTAGAAAAATCTTGTTGCTACAATAGATGCCTTAAAGGTGGCACTATTTTTAACAAAATTAATGAATGTACCTGTCTTAGTTTTAGACTATCAAGTTCATGTTCATTAGTAGGACATTCCTTATGTCTTATAAAAAAATTATTTATTTTAATAAATCCTATAGCAGCAGATTATAAATTTCTGATCATGAAACCTTTCTCATGAAAAAATAAATCTTGCGGAATTGTTAGTATGCAGAATTTTTAGCAGAAATCGCCCCTCTACTCATTTTGTCTGATTTACGGCCTTGGTTTGGATAAGTGTAAGGAATGACTTAACTAATGAAACATGTTGTTCATTAATTCCAAGATGCACTATCAGGACAGGTATAATGAGTAGGATTGCCTAATGCTAATGCACTCAAGTTATAGCTTTGTCCTTTGTCTGAACCTGATAAGACCAGGATCTTAATATTTATGACTATCTTCTGTTTATAATGGAAGATCATATGTTCTACCCTTTTGAATACCCTTTAAACGAGAGTTTTATTACTACTCTTTATATAAGAGATATTCCAATGATCTAGCTTTATCCAATAAGAGAAGGTTAAGTGAAAGGTAAAGCTAACTATCTAGCAAAGGAATAGAACTCAAAATTATCACTTGGGTTTATAGGTGGCACCAGGGTACCTATTTTCTGAGAAAACCATGATATTAAATGTCACATTTTGGAAACCTTTTAACGTATTCTAACTGGTAAAGGGTCTGTAAAAAAATGGTTTAAATACTTGTTCAAACTAAAAATAAAACTGTTTTTATTATTGTTATATACACAAGAAACAACCCAATTCACCCAATGACAATGGTATATAATGATTTAAATGAATTACCAATTGAAATGAAGAGTAGCATTGTTCAAATATTTTTCTCACTATTGATATAAACTTGTGGTACAGTCTTGCCTAATAAACATCCCCCAATAGAAATCCTGTTGATTCAGTTGACTCATATGATAAACACTTCATGATTATGTTATTGTTTTGGTCAGTTAATTAAAGGGGGAACATAGATTAGAGTTCCCGAAGGAAAAATTCCTTATCATACTTTTCTAAAAAATCATAACAATTCTGAGTTTATATCATGTACTTGTTTTTAGGGGCCATTCTACAATAGATGTTAAGTGTCCCCTTTGTTCAAATAATTTGTACATATCTGCAACCAGGGTTTCACTCAAATTTCTCACAACAGGCTAAATAAATGAAAAAACAGGCAAAATTAATGGAAATTATAAATTTAACATGGAAAAATTGAAAACTCCCTAAAAAACAACAGGTGATTCTGTGGAAATGAAACCCCTGGAAACTTAACTTTACAGTATAATATTAAATCAGATACATATGTGTCAATTCTTTTTCAGATTATCAAAATAAATGTGTAAGGGAAATGTTAATATGCTTTTTTGAAAAAGATTGTTAACAGTCCACCCGCTATGGCTCAGAGGCAGAGTCAAGGTTACCAATATCGCTTGGCCCCGGGTTCGATTCCCGGTTCAGACAAGCTTGTTTGTGCGTTATGTAATTCTGGGTGTTTGACTGAGTGGTTCACGACTCGTATAAAAGGCTGTGGTGTGTACCTGTATGTCTGTGTACCTGTGCACATAAAAGAACACAGGGCTCTTCCAAGGAGGGGTTTCTGGCTCTGTCTTCGAGTGTAAAATACGTAAAATACGGAATATACCAATGAGGTATTGCTCGCCAAATATGGCGGTAACCAAGATATAATATAACAGCATTTAACACTCTCTATGCCTCACTGGTACTTTAGTTTTTACCTATTTATTGCTCTGGATCAGATGATAAACACTTCATATTCTGTTGTATCTCATTGGTTTGTTAAGTGCCTCAATAGATACTTCAGCTGATGCTGTTTTCGTTCACTTCAGAAAATCAATTTTCTATTTTGGGAAGCTAATTTTTCAAATAGAAAATAATTGATATTTCATTTTGGAAAACCAGTTTTGAAAATGCAAAAAATATTTCGTCTTTCAGCTACTTGTGATTTTTTTTCTTCTAAAGACCATTATCTCCCAAGATTATAAATGGTGACATTGTTTATTAATTTTCCAGAGATGCCACACTCGAAATCATCAAATCGGACCTCTGGAAGGAAGCCAAAGGCTATCCACTTTTCTACCTCCTTCTGGATCCTGCATCCTACATCTTTGTCAGCATAACCCAGGATGCTGAGCGAGAAGAGTTTTACGATGAGACTCGACGTCTCTGTGACTTAAGACTTTTTCAACCAATTTTGAAATTGGTGGAACCAAAAGGAAACAGAGAAGAAAAAATGCTCAACTATGATATTGGTAAATATTTGAAATGATAGAAATAACATGCTTCATGAAAATGTATCATGCTTAGGCCCCGAAGCAGAATGGATTGGGTGGGGGAGTAGAATGGATGGGGTGGGGGAGAAGAAAGCAATAATTTATGGCTTGATATTGCATTCTCCAAGTAATCAACTGAATTTTATCATATCCATGTCTAAATTTTTAAGAACCCACTCCTTCTACAGTTATCTACATGATAACCAGAACTACTATACTTTTCTAGACTGCTTTATTCATAATAATAGTAAAATTTTCATGTTCATGAGTTGGGGCATGTTAAAAATAAAGATTGAAATTGTCATTTTCTATTGTATTCCATAGGTTTCTGTCTGTAGCCTTCTCAGAATTGTCTATAGCTGTATTTCCAGGATTACTCTACATACTCACATTACCTTATATTACCCACTTAGACTAATTGTCTATATCCTTAATTTTTTCCTATGTACCATTTTACAGAGTATAGTAAATATAGAATAACATGGTTTATAAGAACTTAGAGGTGTTGAGTCAGAAATACTGAACCTTCTTTAAGTAACAATTTTGGCCATTATGAATATTGTGTTCCATAATTTTTTCTGTAGAGTACTTGTTTACCATTCTTTAATTTTTCTTTTACTCTAAATTTTATAGGTGTTGCGGTAGGCACTGCTGTTAATGAATTCAACGAGATCAAAGATCTAGAAGTTATGACGTTTAGACGTAACATGGTCGATGTCTGCAGTGAAGCTATTGATATTCGTGACAATAGGGGGCTCCACAGTCAAGCTCTCTACACCTATCCGCCAGATATTGAAATCAACCCAGAATTACCAATATTTATTAAAGAAAAATTAGACAGTATGTTATGATTTTATCTTTTTTGTGAAAATATCATTTCTGAATTGAACATTTTAAAGAAAATGTCTAATCAAATATTTAATGAAAATGGAATATTCCTCTCGCCATTATTGTCCTACTCTTGATTTTTTTTAATTTAGCCAAAAAAGTTCAAATGTACTTTAGAGTTCACCAAGTTTCTCATTGAACCTCATTCACATATATATTTCAAATTCTGTATTGAAAAATCTGATCATAAGGAAGTTACCTGAAAGCATTTGTACAACATCAATATTCAGTAGCACATATATTAAATCATATAACATAATGAAAGTATTTAGCTTGAATTAATGATTTATATCAGGTACTTGGTCCTACTTCTGAAGTTTTATTCAATTTTATAACTTTTTTTGTGTGGTTTCAGAGAGCATGCACACCATAGTTTGTATCTGGGTGTGCTCAGCTAATGGAGACCGTGCCAAGTATACAGTCAAAGTACCATGTGACGCTAAACCTGAAACAGTAAGCCATTTCAACCTGATTTATTAAATGACTTATAAAGGATTCAGACAAGTGACAATGCATATTATAATCTGAAGATCTCTCAATTATGTTGGCAAAATGCATTACATTACAAAAAAAACATATAACATGAACTTTCTTTCTAGCTTATTTATATATTAATAATCACATGATAAATTTGGTAGCCTGAAGGATGGGAAGTAGGGAGTGGTCATTATGGGCACTCCATTCAAGACTTTAACCCTTTCCTGACGTGAATATAAGAGGAAAATATGGGACTGGTGACGGATAAGTAAGAGCAGTTTTTAGGGAAAAACTGTAAATTACCTATATCCCAGGACGTATGCTTTAAATTGTATCACCTAAATACATTTTTTAAAAAGGACTATCACATTTCAACAACTTGTCAAAATTTGGTGTAAAAATACTGAATAGAACTGGAGATATTGTCATTTCATTGATGCATAGAAATAAAAATAATGGTGCCAAAAGGAGCCCATCGTCCTGAAAGGTATTAAATAATTGGGCTCCATATGGAGCCTATCGTCGTGAAAGGGTTAATAACTGAATTGTCTTTTGTTGAAGTCTGTACCTTCATCTATTATCAACAAGATTGGGAGAATGACTTAGTAGTAATTCATACTATATGGTACAAACTACAAACATATAATACTGTATGATGGTACAGAGACTTGTATCTAATACTGTATTGTATAAACCCAAATGCTAAATGCTTGACAACAAACTTTCCTTATTTACAGGTAATAGAAGAGGCCATACGCAAGAAGACTCGCAGTATGCATATGACCCCAGAACAGCAGCAGCAATGTATAGATGAATATAGAGATAGCTATTTACTAAAGATATGTGGCTGTGACCAGTACCTACTCGGAAACCATCCTTTCTGTCAATACACTGTAAGTAGTTAAGTAGTTTAGGCCTTTGAAGGCTTCTTGAAAAGTTTAAAGAAGCACTTGGCAAATATGGTTGATTAAAAGCTTTACAGTGGTCATTTCGACTTTGGAAGTAATTTGTAAAGAAATAATGATTTACAGGCTGATCCAAAAATTGCAAACCTCTGATTTTTAAATCACTTTCTGAATTGGTCGAATCTTCTAGGAATTTTAACAGTGTTGGAGGGTTCTTATTATGTCACCACCAAGAAGTGGTGACATATTGTTATGGTCTCCGTTTTTTGGTTTCGGTCTTTTTTCAACTTGCTTCAAATTGACAAATTGACCACCGGCGTGTGGCGGTTGGCAATTTTTAAAAAAAAATCACATACAGAGTTCTCAGAAATACAAATCTGACTTAACATGTGAACTAATGATATTGTGAGCAACTCTGCGGTGACATTTTGTCATGTTAACGCCTTGTTTATTTAGGCATGATCTATCACTTAATTGTTCAGGAATATTTTATTTAAAAATATGAATAATGCTAATGCCTCGTGACAAAGTTAAATATTTATAATATGAACATGTTTAGAAAAATTTATGAGTGTAAATACTGCATGAAACTATTCAAATGCACAAAATGTTACTTTCGCAAGCACTTTGCAATATATTCAGTGCAATTTATGAATAAAACTCCCCTAGCTCTTTATACTTCTACAACAACGGAAGTGTCATGTCTATAATTTTCTATATTCCAGTATATCCGCCAATGCATAAAGCGAGGAGACGAAATTCCTCAGCTGATGCTGATGTCAAAGGAGTATGTCTACAGCAATCTTCCTAGAAGTACATTCCTTGTTCCGTCCTATGCACAGAGAGGTAAATCAAATACATGATTGATTTTAAAAGACAATGGAATTTATTTGTCTACATTTTAATTTATTTTATTTCGTATATATTGGTTTGCATGATTTTTCGCATGTCATGTTTTTTCACGTAACCCTGTGTGTTTTTGAAAAAGAAAATGATGGGGAATGCCAAACCTGAAAAACAGGCTACATGTATTTCATTATTAAACAGGTTTATTATTTATGGAAACTAAACAGTTCAAGAACCTTGCTTAACATGTATTTATGATGTGCATGGACCTGGGAACAATTCGGGAAATACGGGGTAATCTCAGATTTAAGCGTTAATATCTGCCTTATTTAAAAAGCTAACTATGTGCTTTATATATCATTTTGAAGTATTTTTTATTCGCATTTCACTGAAATTATTTTTCCTTGAAATGTTTGATGGGATCTACCATATTGTCAAAGTTAAATGTACCCCGACATCGTCAAATACGCTGTAAGACGTAACATTTCACGCTTACACGGTTCGTTGAAATCGGAATAACTTTTGAAATACTGAACAGAATTTTACTAAAATTTCACATTTTATTCAATAGAACATGTGCATTTATGACATCACAATTCCATAACGGCTACAGTTCAAATTGTCTTATATGAACGCTTTTAAAATTTTCAAAATTGTGTAAGGTTTTGAAGGCGAAGGAGACGAGCAATAAGTTTACCTTTATTTAACCTTCTAATTTAGGTCTGATTTAAAAAAAAATTAACTGCAGAATATTGTCATGGCGAAATTTACAAAACAATAACCGATTTCTTTATTTTTCAAATGATATGAAAATAAGAGCTGCTTTTAGAGACTTGAAAAAATGTAACGCATCGATTTTTTACCACAAATTCCATACATATCAATTTTTACTAATGCCCTGAGTGGATTTCCTGACCGTTTTTCAAAAATCAAAAACATTTAAGAAATATTGTCCTCGAGATCTTGTTGCTCTGTGAATTTTACCAGAATCGAATAAGAATAAAGCATCTTACTTTTGGGTTGACTAAACTTGACAAAATGTAATGCTTGACATTTTTGACGTTATAAGGCTATTTGCGCCCTATACTGCCCATTGTTTTGTTTTGGTATTTTGACGCCATAATGTTACGCTAATTGCCCCCAGTTTCGTGCGACGTGTAATTATATTATACATTGCATTCAAATTCAGGAAACAAGTTAACTGGCTCAGATGTTTCTAAATCATTAATTTAAGTTGACCTTAAAATAATATGAAAATGGATCTTCTGTCATATCATATGATTTGTTTATTTGATCAAGGATTTCCTCTATTTTACCAGGTATTAGTGCCTTACAAGATATCAACAACAAAGCAGCTGTGTCTCTTTATGCAATTGATACCATGCTGAGAATAAGAATCAACTGTGCAACTTATGTTAATGTCAAGGAAATGTGTAAGGTGAGTAAGAGTAAACACATAGAGAGTAACAGTGACTCAAGTTGTTTCAAGATATAATTCTGTTAATCCACATTGTTATGTCTGTAGAACCCAAATTATTTAGGTCAATACTGTAGGTTGTAGTGTATTTTGCATTATAAAGAAAGTGATCTCATAATCATATTATCATTGAGACTGCCTGAGTCGATGTGTAAAACAGGAACTTTATATTCTTCCAAATTCCAATGACTATTATTATTGAAACCCTGGTAAAGGAAGTAATGTCATTCTTTATTTTAATAATTTGGAAATATTAGCAGTTTTCGTGACGAGGAAGTGTCTATATTTAATATGATTTATGTTTCACTTTTTTTTTTTTTCAATTGACATATCTAGCCCAAAATTAAACATCCTTCTACTGGCATGTCAAGAAGATCTTCACGAAACAAAAACATGTAGCTAGAAAATAGAACTAAATTTTCGTAGATTTTTTGTCTGTAATGTTTCTGCGTCAAAAATGTATTGAACATTTATTTACCTACCTCAACACCAAGTGCATCATTAACATGTCCATGGCAGTAGTAATGTGAGGTCAGAGGAACAGAATAATTAACTGACCCAGACAGACTGAAACGATATTGTGCTTAAACCAAAGAATAAGTGGAGTTGTTATATCAGCTCACCCTGTTTTGATTCAGATCTATGTGAAAACAGCAATATACCATGGGACAGAGTCACTGTGTTCGTTCAAGGAGACAAAGCATGTGGAGTCATCGAAACCTCGCTGGAATGAATGGCTTGACTATGACCTGTATGTGCCTGATATCCCTAGAGGTGCAAGACTCTGCTTATCTATATGTTGCATATCAAAAGGAAAATCACGGAAAAAGGTATGTATGATTTGTTAAATCTAATATCCTGATTAATCATTGATATTAAAAATTGTTTGAAATATACAGACCCAACCTCCTAATATCGTGTCATTGATATTAGAAATTGTTTGAAATATACAGACCTAACCCCCTAATATAGAAATTGTTTGAAATATACAGACCCAACCCCCTAATATCCTGATGTTAATCATTAAAGGATGTATATAACTATCTAGGCCTTAGAAAACGTTAAAAACGACTTTTTGAGGTTAATCATCAATTTGATTCCTTTTCATTGACTAAATCTAATAAATGCACGTTCGATTTCCAATTGAATGTCAAAGTGCTCTAATAACGAAAGTGTTTGGCCGTTGTCAGGAATCCTCCAAAACAAATGTCACAATGAATGTCTCCATATCATCCAACGTATATTGATGATGTAATACTCGTAGCCCGCTCTTGTGGAAATCCAATGTAATATGACATCAAAGCCCAAAAACGGCAATGTTATTGTTTTTGATTTAAGGTGGGCCCCTCATTAAATACACTGGATGACATGTTTTGAAAATTGCTAAAAGTAGGGGTCATTGTAATAGCTCCCACTCCGTCAATATTTTAAAAATTAACATTTTCTTCATATGGAATGAAAGATGAATATTCACTCTAAATGTATAAGTAAATAAAAGTATTATACATACACAGCGACATGCTGAATTAATGCTTTGAAAAGGTGGCAAAAACACTTTGATAGTTATATACAACCTGTAATATTAGAAATTGTTTGAAATATACAGACCCAACCCCCTAATATGCTTATGTTAATCATTGATATTAGAAATTGTTTGAAATCCAACCCCCTGGTCTTTGCAAATAAATTCAGAGCAATGTCTGATGACTTCTATTAAAATTTTCTTTTCTACTTTCCATGCAGAATTTTGATAAAAATAGTTCTTTAATATTGCCAGTGGGCATAATAAGAGTTACTCTCTATTGATCCTCCCTTCTTCCATAATCGAGTTATCCTCTTTAAACTTTTTGTAATTAAGTCATCTCTGCTAATTTAAAGAGTAATCAGGATAGTTTCAAGCAGTTGTTCAGCTGAAGCAATTCTATTCATTATTTATTTAGTTATTCGACCTCACTTGTTTTTCACATTTGCTACAAATGTCAAAGAGGTCACCTTGTTGTTCTCTTAGCTCAACTTATTATGGTGTCGCATATTACAATCAAGATACAAGATTTGCCGGTTCTATCTTATAAAGAAGAAATAATGTCAATAAATAAAGAAGCCTTGAGTGAATTATTTGTTTTTGGACGTGTCTTTGTGCCAGAGCTTTAAAGCTACTGAAAATACATCAAGGAATCTACATTAGGTTTTAATTGTTCTTGCAATATTGATAATATCTGGATGGAAGTATAAATACTTGTAAACTTATGAATTCTTATAAATCAATAGACGCTTTATCCCAGTTAATGCATAAACAATTTCCGCAATAACAAAAAATATTTATTATAATGGACTTCTTTATCAATCTTTTCATTGTTGATAAGTACCCTCTCAATCCATCATGAGCCAAAGTAATCTCATCTGACTGAAATTACTTCCATTGAGGTGTAAGATTCTCTACAAGATGCCTCACTTCCTGATTTTACATAAGAGTGTGAATTATTGATGCAAGCAGTCAAGGGCTAATTGGGGCAAACAAGGACAGCTGAACAAACACTTTCAAAACAATTAACTCCAAGGACCTCTTCCAATAACATCTTCTGTTAATGGGATATTATGACGATGTTGTTTAGGACCATTTTTAGGACCATGTTTCAAATGCACAATGTGTTTAAAAGAGTGGAATTAGCAAGGAATTGAGTGAATGGTTTAATAGTAATCACATTCAATTGCAAAGAAATGCAAGGGAATTATGACATGTCATATTTAAGTGGCTCACAGAAGGTTGCATGTAAACGAGGCTTCACTTTGTAGTAAACAATCCTTGAAAAATTCATTTCCCAATAAATTCAAGTTGGTTGACTTCAAAACAGCTATTTATCAGTTTTATTGCTATCAGATTCAGTCTAATCAAATGTTCAGAGATGCTGTTGCAGAGGACAATATCAGCGTAAACAAATTGGATATTCTCTCCTTGGCACATGTCTAATCGTATGCAAGTCCAGTTGCCGTTCAAATCAGTTGACAAGAATTAATCCCTGATATAGGATGTCTAAGAAGAATCTTATTTTCATAGGACAAGATTTTAATAAAAAAATGAGTAACATTCCTCCAGTAAATAGGATCGGATGACCCTTTAGTTACCCAGAATCCCCACGAGTTAGACACACTACCCCCTGACTGTCTTAGATGATTTACAAATTTGAAACTGTTAAGAACTTCTTGGAATTGTATTGGGCACTTCAATGTGAAACGTAATATGATTTTCTAAATACATATTCTGATTGGATATTATACACTAGATCTTATAATTATTTCAAATTAAAAGGGTGTAGACAAAGAGCTCTAGTCTGTCTCTTGTTATGCTTGTTCATTATCATCGTGTCCTGATTTATACGGATAATTGATTAGCCTGCTGTGGATGGATAATTGGATTGGATCTTGGGACACGGAATACCTTTCTGGGAGATAATCAGTTTGTTAAGAATTCAGCATTTCAGAAGTAGACATGCAGGCCCATACCCAGGACTTGCCAGGGGGTTTACTTTTTAAAAAATTCCAGGGGGGTTCACTTGTGACAATTTTGGTCCAAAAATTGTGAAAAACTGCATGATTTTGAAAGATTTTTTGGCCAGGAGGGTTCACTCGAACCCATCGAACCCCCCTGGCTACAGGCCTGACATGTTAGAAAATATGCATGCTAAAAATGAAATTGCATATTTACTGAATTGAATCTCCTGGAATTCCTGGTTATATAATTATTCTGGGGTAATGAATTGAGAAAGGGGAGCAAAAGGATGTAATAACCCTGGATATTAACAAAGTAGTAAACAAATGGTTGGAACCATTCCAGAGCTCTGACTCCTGGGATCCTGGTTGGGAGGATGATTCCAGCTGTAAATCCACCTCACTATTCACTCTAAATAACAATAACAGGTCATTAAACTCACATCAAATGTATTTATTAGCTTTATTTTCATCCATGCATAGCTATAATAAAACAACAATAGTAATTATTATTTTATAGGTGCCGTTAATTGCAGCATAGCATGCATCATAAACTTTATATGTTATTAGACCCAAGTATTGTTTCCCCCTATGCTTGAGCTAGAATCCTTTCTCCTTTCTGAGAATAATAATCTTTTGCGAATCAGTAGTTCAGAGGATGTTAAAGTATTGAGGATTTCCTTATTTTCTAATGATGTCCTCCTTCTGTATCTCTCAATACTTTGCCCTGTTTCCTTGGGTACAGTTTTAGCCTTGCATTTTATAGCTTGCTTTGATTGTTTTTGATGAGTTGACATGTCCTGCTCTGTTATATTAGGTGCACTTGGTCCATATAAAATAGCATAAGGATCATTTTTCGGTATTGATAGCTCTTTTGGAGTCGTAGTTCTTATTTCACTTAAGTTAGTGTTAAGATCTGAATTTAAGCATTCTATTTGAGATCTTTTTTGTTGGGGTTTTGAGATTGATACATCGGATGTCACATGACCTGAATTATTTACTCCTATTGGAGTGGGTATAGATGAGTCTGTTTTCAGATCTAGCAGATCAAAGGACCTTGAGCGTCCTAGTTTGAAAAACTCACGGATTGTGCCAGCATTAATTGTAGGTTTTTCTTTTGTACAGTCCAGAATTCCTGGAATAATATCTAACGTGTAGCGCTCATCTCGTCTTTTGACTATTGGATTATACTTTTGTGAGACCTCTGTAGATCCTTCATAAATGTAATTCATAGATCCTGTTGATGTCTTTTTTTGTCTCATGGTTTTTATTAATGTTTTTTCGCTAATGTCAGGTTTATAGTCAGCACTAATGGAACTTGTGGAAATGCGTTTTTGTTTTCCAACTTTTATTTCTTTTAAGTCATTTCCCACTTGATTGTTTTGAGTCTCAGGGATATATACAAAATTCAATGATCCTGTTGAAATTCTTTTACGTTTTTGCTGTTTTGTATTGTTATTGTAATTTCCCATTGAACCTGTTGATATTTTCTTCATTCTCCTTGCGACATGCTTAATTCTTTCATTTATCCCTGGCTCCAAGGAATTTTCAAATTTGTCAAAATTGTCTTGAAGGTTGTTGGTTTGATAGTTTTTGGTATAAAGGGGATGCATGCTGGATGCTGAACTTATCGTAGATATAGATGGCGTGTCGTTTGTGCCTATACCGCTGTCTTCATCTCGGTCAAGATCTATTTTTAGGTCACAATTACATGTTGCGATGACATCACCACCCTCCAATGTTAAAACATTGTCAGGATTCTCAAATGTTTTCTCGTGGATTCTGCAACTATTCGATCGTTCAATTTTCTGATTATCAGATAAGTTATTCAATGTATTACTCTCATTTTGGGGCACTGTGAGAAATGAGGCACTTGATGCTTTCAATTCCTCATCAGGATCCATTGAGTCTGTCCTCTGTAATATTATTTTATCTTGTCCTTCATTATGGTGGATCAGAATTCCTTGAATTGTGTGATTATCATCATTATCATAAGATGAAGCATCAACTTTGGCTGTTACACGTTTCTGAATCGTAGGACTTGTCGTTTCTGATGAAACTGCATCATCTGAGGTTAAAGATTCCTCTTTCTTGTTATTAGTGTCTACTAATTCATACTTCACAGGGCAATTACAGTCGTCACATATAAAATGAACTTTTGTTGATCTTGTACTGTTGATACTTTGTAAAGTTACTGGAATTGATGTTGTGATTGGTGCCACTTGATCAACTGTTGTAATGTCAGTAGTTTCGAAGTTTGATTCTCTGTTTATGTTATCTCGAACACTTGTAAAGCTCATTGATCTCATAGCAGCTGCTCTAGAGTTCCTGCGGGCATATTTGCCATAAATTTCACTGTTGTACAGCGAGTTACAGCAGCTTCGGGACCAGTATTTGAACAATAATCGTGAGTCTCTCCTAAAGCCTTTTTTCCTGAAACTTGCGATTAGCGGGTTTACAACAGCTTCTAAAACAATTGTCCTAGAGAATATATTCCTTCCTGTGAATCCAATTTGTCCTCCGATGCAACTCATAAAAAGGAACACTAAATTGAATGTCCAAAAAACAGTATATATGAATATGATGACAGCAATGAATCTAATCAGTCTTGTATTCTCTTTTTTAATCGTCTCTGTCATTGTCTTTGATCCTTTGATAACCGAACACAATAATAGAATAAGTAGAACATTGGTTACTAGGAAGACACTACTAATGACAGCTGTGTAGAGCATGATAAACTCAAATCCTTTTTTGTAATCCCCTGCATAGAAAGGGAGACAGAGTCCCACCCTACTGTAGCTTGTTTTCCCCTCCATTAGGGGTACAGCAGCAACTAATAATGACAGACTCCAGAATACAGCTAGTATAATATAAGTCGTTTTTAAATTTAAATGTTTCCATTCTCGCATTGGGTTTGAAATTTTAGCATATGCTTCGACAATGTCAATCATATAAAGAAATGTTGACATCAGTGTCGCAACAATGAAGAAGTAACCAATCACAGAGCAGCCAACACTATGAAGCCACTCTTCCATGGCGTAATGATATCTGTTGTAGTATTTCACTCCATGTACCAGAATTACTGCACTGTATAATGTTGTGAGGAGGTTTGCAATAGCAAAGTGGCCGTCTAGTAGTGTGGTAGGCTTAGTCCGTCGTTTCTTCAATCCAAATGTCACTAGCAAAACCTGGAGTCAAAGACAACTTTGTAAAGATGACAGCCAAGTATACATCTGAGAGTCAACAAAGCACATGTACTCAAATTTTGTGTTTTTTCCTTGAGATAGATTAGATAAATTAGATACTTACCCATCCATTGAGGATAGGACTAAGGATAACAATGATAAGGTAGATGATGAAGCCATCCATTGTCAAAAGGCTCTGTGAACACTCTGTGTAAGGTATATCTGCCTGGCAGGCATCACGGGCTTGACTGCGCACTGCTGGGCCTGTAATACAGATACATGTACAGTATAAGTCAGATTGAAACTGGAAAAGTGAAACACCCTTTGGTTATCTATGTTATACAGAGGTTCAATGGACATGAAATAAGTGGGTCACACTGTTCCTATTGTAAGGTTTTCCATTAATAGAGGTATGCCATTACAGAGTAATGCTATCATTGAAGTAACTAAGTTGTCCTATAAATGGGCAGTCAGTTCTGAAAGCTAAGCTTCCCCCATGTGCATCACACTATTTAAATGCTGATCCATCTCTCAAACGTGTCATTGTATTTGAATGAAATTAAAGTAACTTGAATTAGTTTCAGTAATCTTGATCATTTATTTAAATAGGTACCTGAATCTAGTTCCCATTCTATTTCAAACATACAGCAAGTTTTCCCAAAATCTGTGTAGATTTTGGTGATGTTCTGTCTGAAGAAACCACGTAGTCTGATTATGGGCAATCTCTCTAGATAGTAGTTCCCCCTGGTGTCCATCACTTGTAGGTCGATCAGTGGATACAGAGTAGATTTATTTAAAACTATCAAGTAGTTCTTGCTGATGTCTCTGAAAATAAAAAATAGAATGATGACATTATTGTTTTATTGGAAAATGCCATTGTGGTAGGGACTCCTGACATTTTTAAAATGAAAAAATTGGAAAAGAATTACATATGTGTGAGATAAAGGTCTACATATTCAGTAGATTTGCTCCAATGTAAATCGTGTCCAATTTTGCACCTATTGTTCCTTGAGATAAGTCAAATCTCAAACACTTCACACTTTTCTATTTATGTCACTAATCCTCCAATTTAATTTCAAAATTTTAATAAGCAAATTTGCTTTTGGTTTATCATGTAATCATGGTTCGGTGTTCTTTATGAAGTTTGTAAACCGAGATTGACTACCTCTCCTGATATGAGAAACAATATTTGGGTTGCAGTCTCATGAGCATTAGATTATGGTTACAAAATCAGGTGTTTGACTTTAAAAAATTTGCCTCATAAGCAGGGGCGAATCTGGGAACCAACAAGGGGGGGGGGGGGGCAAATTTCAGATCAGAGAAAAACCGTCTGCGCTTGCGTGGAAAAAAATTTGGGCCCCTAAAACCCAAAAGTGGGCCCAAATTTTGAAAATTTTCTTTAAAATTTGGCTTGAAATTAAAAAATAAGGCTTTAAAAGGCCCAGTAAAGGCCTTTTTTGGCCCAAAAATTTTTTAGGGCCCAATTTTTTTTCTGGGCCCACCCAAAGGGACCCCCCAGCCCCCCCAGATCAGCCAGTGATAAGTGTGGTGCCATATTGTTTTTCTAGTAGAAGAATGGTTTTGAGATTTCTCCTCCCTTTAGGTAATTTAAATTGAGTTACCTAATATCAAAATGTTTTCTTGACGATTTCATGATTCTTGGCATAGTCCCCATATTCTGACTTGTTTTCAATTATTTTGCATATTGGTTTTAACATAAGTCAACATTTCACATGTTTGTCCATGGTATAGAACATCTCTGCCTTTAAAACTTACTCTGTACAATTTTCTTGTAATTCATGATTGAAAAAATTACTCAGTTCCTGTGTTTGCGATTTCAGTCCAATTTAGAATCTGTACTGCATACAAACTGCAAATGGACATTATACCTTGCTAATTCTATCCTTTTTTTTCTACTTTAGAATAAAAATTGCATTATTTTATTTTAAGGTACCTACGTTGTTTATAAGATAAGTGCGTCATACTGTGTGCATTGTCTAATCATTGTAGGATAAGATGCCCTTTATTTTATTTTATATTAAAACGTGGACTTAATGTTACAGTACATACACTGTATTTTGTAACCATTTTCAGACATTTTGTCATGTTAATGTCTGGTAGTAGTTTTGTAAATGTTTGAATCCCAATTTTGAATGCAAATTATGATTTTGTATTTTATAAGTGTTTATTAAACAGATTTTTGAATATTTATAGATGGAAATATTACTTTAACTGTCTTGTTAAACATACCTATTTTTCTCATTTTTGTTAGCAAAAATGGAATTGATCCTTATATCAATGATTTATGAACTAATATAACTTTTTCTCGAAACTGAAGATGAAACCTCTTGGCTGGATGTAATACTTTGAGATAAATGGCCTATAAATTTATACAAATTGGGAGTTTTATTAAAAACTTGAAGGTTGGAGATTATGGATCATTTACCCATATGTTTGATTTACTCTTAAGATATGACTTTTTCTATAACACTGTCATCTGATTTTTGAGGTTTTGGTTATTGTCTTTTTATGATGATGCTAATACCAGAGTTAATGTTATTTAGCCATTTACATGGTTTTGGTTTATATATTTATGTTCTAAATAATTCAAAATGTCCCGTGTGGCTTCAAAATTGAGGATAAATACTTAAAAATATTTTTTTTAAATAAGTTTCATGTTTTACTTTATTTAATTGTTAGGAAAGAATGGGATTCTTACCCATGTTTATAAATACTGTATATGTATAAAGTGTTTATATTTGGCAAATTTGTTGAGTTCTGTTTACTATATTCTAAATAATGGCCCTCAAACAATGACTTATAAAGTTATAATTTTACTAAATTGATGTGTGGTACCAGGTACACTATCATATATGATCTTTATAGGGACCCAATCTAGATAAAACCCAAGAGCTGAATTGTAAAGTAGCATCTTCATATTGTATATATAAAGGACAACTGAGTGGATGGGGTGATGTCTGTATGATGTTTCTACTTCACAAAACTATAAAATATTCTTATTGACAATATAAATCATTCATGAAAGGAATATAAATAAACAAAGGGAGATATTATGCCCACCTCAGACCAACTCAGGCCCCATATCCTAAAAATGAGCAAAACGTCAATCCTGAATCCTGATACCTTTCTACTAAAATCTCTAAAAGTTATACTTACAAATATTGCGTCTCAATTGGCAACACCTCTGGAAGGGTTGTGAGATTCTGATGACTGCAGTTGGTAAGAAACATATTTGTGGTATTATCAAAACCGCATTTACACACCTTGGGGCAATCATCTTGAGTGTCTATGATCGTCTTATTTATTTCAGTGATAATTTCAGGAATTCGTAAAATAGTGTTATTAAAGATCTCCGAAATGAGGTCTTCTGTTGTTATGTTGAGTGCTTTAATAACAGAGGCGATTATGTTTTTAGTGTCAATTCCCCAATTATCTGATTTTTTACTCCTTGCTTCCTTGATTGCCTTTCTAATGTCAGTGAAATTAGTTTGAACCTCCATTAGGCCCAAATGAGTAAAGTTCAGATTTTCAACAATGGTAAAATTAGGAATCCTTTGAATTTCTAAGTTGTTTCTGGTTGAACTCGTGGAAGAAGAGAATAACAAAGGAAGTAGTAGTAAAGTCCCCGGCACTGACATGGTTGCTGTTTTTAGTTGTGTAATATCCATATTTGCTCCAAAATGTATTTCTTATAATATATTGTCTCGTGAGCAGTATCTCTGAACTTAGGCCTTATCGCTTCTCAATACTTTTCGCCAAACCTTCATATATACACATTGTAAAGATTAATAGTTGGTAATGACACAATTTCAATAACTTCTTCCAAAATCTTTTATTTATGATTATTTTAAGAAAATGTCTACCCTTTTTGTTCCATTTGTATACTGTTAAAGATGTTTACAATGCCAAGTCTTTGAATATTGTTCAGTTGAAATCCTCTCAGGTTATATTATCAATGACCATTGTCCAGCTAACAGTTACTGTCCCATTCAAGGCTGACCTGATAATGTCTTCTCTGCCCAAGTAGATTTTAACAGTGACTTGTATCTTATCAGGGTTTCACTGCTCTCTGTTGCCATACAACTTCTCCCTTCTACCCTCTTTATCTGAATTACCACACTCAACAAGGTAATCATAGGCTTTCATCTTGTTTCTGCTCTTCTCAATTCCTCAATTCCTATCAAACCCATGTGTGCACTTACGTATGTGGTTCTCGACACGTGTTTTCAAAAGTTGTGCCAAAATCAACGATTGTCAGTTTATATCAAAGATATTAAAATGTTACATCAGGAACTCCAAAATTTGGTCAAGTTTATGAAGCATCTAAGGCCATGCAAGTTCAGTTAAATAATTGTATATTTAATAGTACATTTTGCATGCTTCAGATCCAACCTTGTTGATCAACCTTTTTATGAAAGAACAATAATCTTATAACATGTTTATATAATACAGTTTTGAAATATCTTAAGTTATATCATGATCATCTGTTGTGCTGAAAACTTTGAGTCATTTGTTATCAACATGCCCAGATCTTTATCTCTTACAGCCGTTGTTCATAGATCTATTATCATTTTGTTATTATCTGATGACATATTTCATCACTTTATCTTTGTCTCGTTATCTAATGCCATTTTAGGTAAAGATATTTTTAACTTAATGTCCTGGTCCAATCCTGTCAAAACTAGACCCAGGTGTTGATTTAAAGGGGTAATATGTGCTTTATTTTAAAATGAATTGAATTATATTTGTACTGAGAAGTAAGAAATGTCAAGTTTTTTATGATATGGAATCTGTGCATTAATCAAACTCAACCTAAAACTTAGTTGAAACTGCATTGATTAATTGGAATATTTGGAAATATTTGAAATTCATAAAAAAATTAAAAGATGTCTGTGTACTATTGCCCCTTTTACCTGAGCTCATCATTATATTTATATAATTCTGAAGCTGTGTTTGTTTAAAATGAAGTAATCTAAAACTCAAACACCACTCCCATCCTAGGCTCTTATGTTCAATATAGGAAATAGAAATGTAAATAGATTTATAGGAAGTCGATTGCTTCCAGAGACAACAATATTATTCTATCTAAACTTTAGGCTCCAGGGCCGCTTGAGAAATGGCCACTTGAATCATTTTAATAGAAATTTTTCGTAGAAAATGTCTGTCATGTAGTCTTAAATTATAAATGGACACCTTGGTATGAAATATCTTATAGCTAACTAAAATGAAGTACAGCAAACCTGCTAAGTGGAACATCTCTGTAAGTGGAACACTTCGCAAGTGGAACACTTTTTCAAAATCGCATTTTTATAACCCAATGACTTAATGCAAATTAAACCTGTATAAGTAGAACACCTCCAAACTTGAACATTGAACACATAATTATGAAATGTTTACTTTGAAAGCTGTAAGGATTAAAAGCACTTGATGATGAATCATATAAATACCATTGGCATTTTTTACTATCAGTTTCCAAACGATGATGAAAAACCATTGTAATTTGTTGTATCTAATCTATATCGAGAGCCATCAGATAAAATTACGTAATGAATCATTACATATATATTATAATATTGTCGAAGCATGAGAAAGAGGTAATATCTGTGCTACTTATAGCTTCATTACATTCTTTAAACTTTGCCTTTTAATGATCTAACATAAGACCTTCATCAATAATCTTTTAGACATTATGATTTGATTTTTTCATAAAAAAAAGTAAGATAAAAATTTTCATTGTCTATATAATACATTTATTATGTTGTAACATTTTGGCAAAATTATATATAATCTTGAAGTGTTAATATTCAATGATAATATTAAGAGGCACATCAAATATAATATTATTGCTTCATTATCTTGAGCTTGGTAAGTCTACTAAGTACGCATAGATTTAAAGGTATAATCCTGAAATTTTCTTCTATATCTTATCCCTTTATGTTTATTTTTCGCCCAAAGTAGATGTTTGTGTGAAGATAACATATTTATTTTTAGTCGATTCGTGATGATAAATTCAATGATGGCCATGTGTATGCCGGTCACAGTGAGATAGTAGAAGATATCAAGATATTGTTTTAATAAACAAATAGTTATACCCTTCTAAAAGTGTGTATTAGACCTTCTATTGCCAAGCTGTAAATAAGCAACATGTTCTCAAGTATATCAGGCAATAGCAAAGGTTAATATGGAGATATTACTCAAGATATACAGGGTGTCCATGAAGTACAAAGTTGGTGTAAAGTGTAAAGAGACTTTATGGATACTCTGTACTTCTACATGTATGATATTTAACAAGAATTATATCAAATAGACATACATATTTAAGGATTTAAGCCCTGGACTCAGTGCAATTTAGAATGACCATTCCTTGAAGGTGTTGTGTTCCAAAATTTGCATGATATTAGTTTTAGGAAACAATGCATGAAAGGTCAAGTTGCAAAAGTATCACTTTCAATATGTAGAGTCCAGTTGTTACCTTGACAACCATTTATAACTAGTGACATTGCGTTGGTTATTGGTTATACAATAGAATGCAGTTATGTGAAATAGCGTCTTTGGATTGGCTGGAATCGGACACCCCTTGCCTATTACATTGTGCTTCAATACCTAATTTGAAATTCCTAAATATATTTGTGAAAGATCACTTAAACACACAGAATAAAAGATAGCTCTGATACATTATATTAAATAAGTACATTTATACCTGCGATAATTAATAATCGAATATTATTGTTTCAGGAGCACTATGCACTAGCATGGGGTAATGTGAATATGTTTGATTTCAACGACCGTCTTCAATGTGAGAAGAAAAGTCTCCAATTGTGGCCCATGCCCCAGTCTTGGGATGACCTGCTCTATCCTATAGGCACACCAGGTAAAAATACCATACTTAAAAATTAAAAAGACCTGGATTTTTAAAAATGGTACAGGTACTATAAAAATGATTTTCTCACTTTTTGAATGATGTTGTTTGTCCCAAAAGTATTCTTCTTAAGTAGACAACCATATTTTTGAATTAGCTATGTATAATTTTTATACTTTATATATTTTATTAAACACAAAAATGTGTTCTGCAATCTCTTAAAATGACACGGATACAAACATATTATTTCATTGTTCCTACAGGTTCCAATCCAAACAAGGACTCTCAATGTCTCGAGATAGAATTTGATAGGTTCAGTCACCCTGTTGAGTTCCCCCGCGATCACCAAGTTGAGGAATATGCTAGGTTCTGGGAGAAACGTAACCGTGACAACATGCTCAGAGGACATTCACCAGCGGTAAGTTGAAATGGTGCTTTGCTTAACACGCTATATTAATCAGATATAGGGCAATAAGTTAAAAGTATGTGTTCATTGAAAACATCATTTGACTAATTTTGTTTCCATGGCTAAATAAAAGTTATTTATTTTGTATAAATGAAATGTTTCTAATTATCAATACTTTCCATTTTATTAAATGTACATTTTTGTCAAACCAGCTGTACTACAAATTAAGTGTTTACCCTTAACTGAAAATTATTGTGGTATTAGCTCTGTATAATTTCTTTGCAGCCCTCTTCTCATATACTAGAACTAGAGCGGGACCAAATCATGGAGATCATAAAACGTGATACATTGGCAGAAATCTCAGAACAGGAAAAGGAGTTAATTTGGCGAAATAGGTAATGATTGGAAATCTATTGATGTGTTCATAAATTTAATTTGAGAAAGATTATGGACAACTAAATATTCCTAGTGATTTTAATTAACATTTTTTACAAAAGTTGACAAACATATAGTCAATTCCATGTGTATGTTTGTTATTATTGTAATGTAAATCCCCACATTTTAAAATCTTAAAGCCAACAATGTCTCATTACTTGTTCAGCCCTCTGGATGTGTCTTTAAAGCTTCAATAACAATTAGCGACAACATGCTCTTAACTTTGTCCTTAAATGCAATTATGAAGCTTAAAACAATCCCTGGGGAACTTTGAAAAATTGTTTATCTGTCTGCAGTCTTGATAACATGATTTTGTTATGATATTATGTAGGTTATCCAGGGTTGTTGTTATTGTTGGTTCAGATCATTTAGGACTCATTTACCTAATTGCAATATAATCTAGATGGATAATAAATATTAATCATCTAGAGGATCATGAATATTAAAAGAAATATGCATTCATGTGTGTTTATATGAGAATCCTTGTTTAAAAAATCAACAATGAAAATAAATTCCAATGCAAGTTTGAGTAAAGAATATATACCAGTAATAAATAATTAAATAAATATATAATGAGTTCATCATACCAACAAAATAAACATAAGATGTTTTACCTGGCCAATAAGTTTCCAAACATGATAGACAATTCCAATTTTAATTCTCTATGTCATTCCTTCATTGTGTTTTTGGCCCGTTTTGCAATACCATGTTCATAATAAGATCTACAAAAAATCAATATGATTTATCTCAATAAACATTACCCAATGTTGTGAATAAAAAATGTATTGTTTTTTTTTCTCAAGGAAATTTTGTCTCACTATACCAGAGTCCCTTCCCAAATTGCTGGCCTCGGTCAAGTGGAGCAGTAGGGAGGACGTTGCCCAGGTGAATAATTATATAATTAAAATCTGAAATATGTAGTAACATTTCAATCTAGCCACGGAATCTTAGTTTCCTGATTTTATGTTTTATGACAGTTGAATTTTCTGGTAAAAAATATACAGCTAAAATACGGTTTCTAATTTCGTCTGATAATTTGTTTCTCACAATTTCTTTTTAAGGAATCTAATTTTCTTTCAAGCATATTGCACTGATCTACCCTCTTATGAGTATCTAATACTAGATACTTATAGAAAATAATAAAAAATTGAAAGTGTTATATCACATTTCATGTGGGACTGTTACTTTCTTAATGATTGGTTGCATGTTTACAAATCCAAGAAACTTTGGAGTATTTTAACATTCTTTCGTTTTTCAGTTATACATGCTGCTCAAGGAGTGGCCACCTATCTCACCAGAGACCTCTATGGAGCTTTTAGATTGTACATACACAGATCTGACCGTTCGCAAGTTTGCTGTCAATTCGCTCAATGAGAAATTAAGTGATGAGAAACTGGCTTTATATCTCATACAACTAGTTCAGGTAATAAACCTATTTATTGAAAATACTTTTTTACAGTAAAACCAGTTTCATGTACATGTGATATATCCGTTTTACACTCAACTGTGAAAAGATTAGAAAGGTCCAAAAGTATTGATTAGTGTAGTGAAGTCAAATTTTTGAAAATAAGCATCTGTTTTATTACAATTCAACTCAAAAGTTTCTCAACACCCATTTCCTTTCTTGATTTTTTTCTTTATTACTTCTTTGTAACTCTTCATTATACAGTTCTATATATCCTGTGGTCCAAATTAATAAAAAAAATTCTTACAGGGTTTAAAGTTTGAACCATACTTAGATAATGAACTGACCAGGTTCCTGTTAAGAAGGGCATTGTTGAACCAGAGGATAGGGCATTTCTTCTTTTGGCATTTCAAGTAAGTACCCATGTGTGTATTGTAATACAAGGCCAGGGGAGGGAGGGGGGTTAGAATGATTGAATGTTTATTGAAATATACTTAAATCATTTGTTTGCATTGTTTTTATCACTTATTGCGTTTTATATTAAATGAATATAAGTAATATGTTAATTCTATGATCAGCGAATATTATTTAGCTTTGGTGGTGACTAATACTTTTGCATTCTCATACAATGCCTTCTTGTACTATATGCATATTGATTGTATTTTAACTAATAAATTAAATAAAATACTTTTGCATCGTACTCTAAAACACATTTTAAATATTTTGTCAGTTCTGTATTCACAAGCATCCAGTTTTGTGAAATGTCAATGGGGTTCCATTTTTTCAGTAAATATGTATTTTTTTATTATTTGTGTCTTAGGTCTGAGATGAATCAAGCTGGGATTAAGCTGAGGTTTGGTATGATGCTGGAGGCATACTGCAGGGGATGTGGGGCAGCTCATCTCAAGTCAATTACCAGACAGGTGGAGGCATTGCAGAAACTAACAATGCTCACAGATAAGCTAAAGTCTGAGAGAGAGGTAGGCATTACATTGATTTTACATTTTAGTACAACAATAATACAAACAATACAATGTAAGATCACTAAATGCCCATGAGAAGGCAATATTCAGGCAAACATCAAAAATACAAGATATCAAAATCTGCTCTTTAAATAGGAGATTTTATCCTATGCCAAGTAGAGTTTTAGGGAGATAAGTTGGTAAGATATATCCCGTATCCTGATTTTGAGGTTTCCATATCCTGAACCTCCATATCTCCCGCCATATCTCCCGCTCCAGGGCATTCACGCTAAGAAAAAGAAAGTTTGAAAAAAAGAAAAATGTGAAAAAATATTTGAAAAAAGAAAAAAATTGAAAAAAGAAAAAAAAATTGAAAAAATTGAAAAAAATTAGAAAAGTGTGAAAAATTGGAAAAAATAAAAAAAATTGAAAGAAAATTAGAAAACTCTACTTGGTATAGGATGAAGCAGTTATGTAAGGTTGGTTTGGATATTGGGTTCATCCCTCGTGAGATATGGTCCCTCAGGTAGATATGCATATCTCCCTCTGGATAAACCCCATATCCAAAACCTCCCAGTACATAACCCTTATTTATCTCCAAGTGTTCAGCTCTGAGGTGTTCTACTGTATAGTCTATTAATAAGTTGATCTTGTTTTTGTAGGATGACCAAGTTAAATTGCTGTACCACATGAAGCAGCCAGACTATCTTCAGGCTTTACAGCAGTTCTCATCTCCACTGAATAGCAGTCAGATTCTAGGCGAACTCAAGTATGTTTTTTCTTTTTTCAGTTTATTTCAATTTCCTTGATATTGATATAAATACAAAAGTATGCCTTTGTTAACTTAATAACATTATCGGCATAGTAAATATTATATATATATAATAATAATATATAATATTATAATATATATACTCAAGTATGTTTACTATTAAATTGCTTGTTTGAATGAGCACTTGTTTGTATGTCCATAATATGATTTCATATTTCAATTCCTTCCTTGTTTTAATCATCAGTTAAACTGCCTGCTTGAAGAAGTGATTGTTTGAATGTCATCTTCCAGTATATGGTTGCTTGGAGTGATTGTTTGTATGTCATCTTCCAGTATATGGTTGCTTGTATGTTTCAGGATTTCAGACTGTAGGGTTATGTCATCTAAGAAGCGACCCCTAATGCTAGCATGGAATAATCCTGACCCCATGGCAGAGTTTCATTTACCTGATTTTCAAATACTCTTCAAAAATGGAGATGGTAAGACTTCAACAATTCAATTCTATGTTTAGCATACGTAGTTGTTGTTAATATTGTTTTGAGAAAGGTTATATTAGAGAATGAAGCTGAATATATCTTACTATGATGTCATGGTCTCCATGGCTATAACAATTAATTTAAGTATTTTCATAGATAGGATGTTCTTGTTTTGAATGGATACCCCAGTTTATTATGTCATGGAATATTTCAGATCTGCGCCAAGATATGCTCACTCTCCAGATGTTTAGTATGATGCAGACCATTTGGCAAGACGAGGGTCTAGACCTCCGAATGATTCCATATGGCTGCTTATCTGTCGGCAAAGATGTTGGGTTAATCGAGGTCGTACGTCGCTCTAAGACTATCATGTCAATCCAGAAGGATCGTGGCTGGAAGGCTGCAACACAGTTTGACAGCACTCAGCTTCATAAGTGGATCAAAGAAAAAAATAAAGGAGATAGGTATGTATCATATATATGATTTCTTTAAAAGGGTGTATCACTCTCTGTCTCCCTCAATGTAAGAAGGAATGAAATTGTCACATATCCTGGGATATCATTTTTCTGTCTCGAATAATCTTTATCAATGTTCTCCACAGGTTTTTTTCTCAAGTGGGTGCAAAATTTTCATTTTCACAATTCTGACTGAAATTGGTCAAAATATGCCAATTTTCTCATTTTCAAGTGGATGCAAATGAATCCTCAGGTGACTGCAAGCCTGTTTTTTAAAACTCAGGTGGGTGCTGCGCCCACTTGCTTTAATGCTTGGGAGATCACTGTCTATTGTTATTTAAGCTGTCCTTTTTGTCACCCCTTGTCTCTCATTAATTATACACAAGCAATGCTAGCACAGAAAATCAGGAAGTGTGTCTCCTCTCAATTCGATTAAGCGGTAAACAGCGTAATAAATTTTCTGTAAGTGAGTTATGTTTTACAGCATTTCCTAATTATAGAAAGTTGTTTTTCCCAAAGAAAAGTTCCCAATAAATTGTCAATCCATCATGCTAGATTTGGATCTTTATTGTTCTCCAGCAACTGAAAAGTACAAGTTGCCCTGCTATTTTAATATTGTACCAGGCCCGTAGCCAGGGGGGGGGGGGGGGTTCGCAGGGTTCGGGCGAACCCCCCCCCCCGGCCAAAAATTCTTTCAAAATCATGCAGTTTTTGACCATTTTGAGCACTTCTCTAGTGATTTTAGCCTAATTTGGGCCAAAATTGTCAAATGTGAACCCCCCCCTGGAAATTTTTGAAAATTGAACCCCCCCTTGGCAAATCCTGGCTACGGGCCTGTGTACTATACAAATTACTCACATCTGTGAAATAATGATATGAAAAGTATCTGAAATAATTAGTCTCCTGGCTGCTACATACCATCACATTGTTGTCTGATTTAAAATGAAATAACAAAGATCTATTATTGATATTTGATTACATTAGACAAATTTTTTTCTTTGATATGAAAATGATTAATAGATAATAACATACTGAATTATTTCGCCTTCTTCTTCTGTTCAAGCAAATAATAAGGACTCCAAAGCAAACAAACTGAAACAAATAAAACAATGTTAATAAAGCAAGGTTGCTTGAATTGTTCAATGAATAAAACTGTTTAGATGAGTACTTTTTGACATAGAGCCAGGCATTATTGAATTTCATGGTATTTTTCCAAGGTTTCCTCAAACAAACACAATAAGGTCTCAGTATTGTGGAGAAGATTCAGTTCAGTATTGTAGAAGTTGTTGTACTATAGCATATTATTGGTGAGAGTATGTTATTTACCAGTACTCCTGCATAGACTCCTTTGTCATTGAGACTCTTATGCACAACACTTATCACCAGGATTATAACACCAAATATGATATTAATCAATCCGCAGAGTGTTGCAAAACCTACAAAAATAGACATAAGTTAGCAATATATTCAGACAGGCAATTATTTAATTTGTTCATTTATACAGTTTCACTTTATTTATTTGTCTTCCTCGGGTAGGTTACAGATACTTAGCACATGGAACAAACTAAAACACAGTCAGTAAAATATGTTCAAGACTATAAACATTTTCCAGTTTTCCAGAAATATTCAGATTTTTTAATGATAACCTGTCCCCCAGTAGTATTTTCGGTTAGTTTGCACTTTAGGGTTTGTTTATAAATGATGGATGAGATTAACATTTATTTAGATAGCCCCACATACCTGGGAGTGTCACTCCATCTGGTTGGTAAAGATGAGAATGTAACATCTGAAAAGAATGATTGACTTTTTATATATTGATTGTAAAACATTTGACCATCTTTTAATCTCTTAAAGATTTTATCATCAAAATATTAAGATAATGGAGGTTTTAATTCCTACCTTAGAATCAAAAAGATGTGATAATTAAAATTGATAGTTACATTTTGTACGAATACGCCCTCTTATACACCTTAAGTGCCATCTATGTATTACATTCAAATAAATAAATGAGCATTAAATACAATATAATATTAAGTGCAAAATTACAAAAGTACAAACTTACTTTAATATAATCTGCATTTCACATTGCTTGTTTTTGATGATGTGTTCACACATTCACTTATTTAACTTGATTTTTGTTTAGACTTTGCACCTATTGAGAATGTATTGTCATGTTTAGTGCTAATTTGTTACTCCTACTTTACCAACAAAGCTAAATTTTAATACTTTCAATTATTCAAGTTGTATTGTTATTTATAGCTATTGGTTGCTAATACATATTCAAGTGCAGTACATGAAAACTTGTATTATTGAACACCTGTCCTCTATGTTAGTGCTTCCTTATATGAATCCCCTTAGCATACACCTATCATGTATGTTCAGTGAACACTTCTCTGTCAATTAAACACCTCAGTGTTTCTTGAACAAGTCTATTTGGTGGACATTTATCTCTGGAAAACACCAATGTAGTTTATCTGTTTTGAAAAGTTTTATGTAATACAAATTACGTTCATCCTTCAAAATATATCAACCTTAAATATCAGATATTAACACATTTAATTTATTTAACTGTGACTCGTTTAATGAAACTTTGTAAAAGTTGAGAATTCCTAAAGTTCATTGTTCTCTTATTATGAGTCATTGTATCCATAGATACAACAATTGATTTGGGATTTCTCAATCATATGAAGTTTCTATCAAAGGCACCCTGATGTATAGCTATTTGCTTATTAATTGAAAAAATGTTTTTTATTTTTCAGGTATAACATGGCTATAGACAACTTCACGCGGTCATGTGCTGGCTACTGTGTAGCTACATTTGTACTGGGAATAGGGGACAGGCACCCGGATAACATCATGGTCAATGAGGAGGGACAGGTAGGATAGTAGCACTAGGCATAGTTACTTAGATTCATCAACATACAGTACACATGGATGTATATGTCTCATCTTTGATATCAATCAATTGTTACTTACATGTATATCTTCTTCAAATTATCGCAACAAATGTTTAGAACGTAATGTGAAAAAACTTGTCTCAAAGTATTATTACCATTTTCAGGTGTTCCACGTAGACTTTGGTCATTTTCTGAATCACCGCAAGAAGAAATTTGGATACAACAGAGAGAGAGTCCCATTCGTTCTCACAGAGGATTTCATAACTGTTGTTGTCAAAGGGCAGGATATGCCTCTCAAAACCAAGGAGTTTAATGCGTAAGTATATACATGTACTCGTCAGTCAGTTACAATCTATAAGAGCATTTATGTTAGAAAGTACATGTAGTTTGATATTTCTTACTGTCATTATGTGGTTGCAGCCATCTCAGAAATGCCAATAGGATTTTAATGGCTTCGTCTTGAGTCAAACATTCACACGTTATGGCTACTTGGAAGACGATAAGCTGATATGTTGATTTGTGTCAAACCGGTGCCTGTAGATGTATGAAATAGGGTTGAAATTACAGTTATGACTCTAACTTACTTAACTTATGAAGGGACAAATGATAGAGGTTGTCACGCCTTAATAAAATCTTGCTTGTATTTCCAGATTCACTGAAATGTGTGGCAAAGCTTACTTGGCCCTCAGAAAACATGCCAATATTTTCATCACATTATTCTGCATGATGCTCTCCTGTGGAATTCCTGAACTACAGTCCCTTGATGATATTGGATACTTACGAAAAACCCTTGCTGTCGACAAATCTGATAAAGAGGCCATTGAATACTTCCAGTCAAATTTCTTTGAGGCATCGAATGGTTCATGGACCACGAAAATGGACTGGTTTTGCCATTGGGTGAAAAATAGGAAATGAATCATCTTAAATATAAATAACGGAAGTTCAAAATATGAAGAATGGATGAAGGAAATGGGTGTTTTAGGAGAATGTGTTATATGGCTTGAGGCAATATGTCAACAATACTCACAAAGTAGGTTACAATTTAAGTGGACATTTTGGAGAAGAAACCATTTAGAGAAATAACATTAGTGCCATTAATTATAGCATTCTTTGATTGATAGAATATGAAGTGAGAAATCTTAAATAATTTTGTATTTGCTGTGAAATTGAACACTTCTGTCTTATGGTATAAGCTACAGGTTGTGAGTGGTCATAATCTCAGAAACATTTGCAACGAAAAATTGAACATGCCTCTAAAAACAAACCTGCCAAAAATTGAGGATGATCATTAAAATCAAATTCAACGTTGAAAGTTTGACGGATGATGAAAGATGCTATTTAAGTGTACGATAAACTAGTCACATGAGAAATTAATCAAAGTTATCGTTGAGTCCAACTTACTGGCGCAAATAATTGTTATTCGAATTGCGTGTGTTCTGCAAACAAGCGACATCTACTTTTTAAAATGTTGCCCAAACCAGATATAAAAATGAGACAGAAAATGAGGTATCCTGTCTATCTGTTTTATTGCAACTCTTCCTTGACCTTTATACTGATCTCCCGGTGTGTCTTCTTTAGGAGATCAAGAATGTCTCATTACAGTACATAATGGCAACACAAACATCAGTTTAACATGCAGAAAATTAAATTATTTTAGTCTTGCATCAAGTTTCTGCTCCCCTTTTTATTTATATTTCTAAGTGTTAAAGAGAATATTAGAGGTCAACATAGGGGTTCTCTATTTGTACACCTTAACAGGGACTTAATGTAAGATTATTTAACCTAAGTGGGATATTTTATTTTATTTGGACACAAAAACACATACGAAGGGAGTATCCACACCCTGTCATATTGTGTGCTATAACATGGATCATGGTTACTTATTGAGGTGGTCTATTGAGACTGACTTGTATTGAAGCTTGCAAAGATGCCCCTCAAGGGATACTGCCCAGTGGCCATGTATACATTTTGATGCATATTTACTTATGTGAGAAATGCCTAAAAGATCAAAATGCCGCCATAGGTGGCTTGTGTCATGTTGAAGTTTGTTGAACAACATTACTGTGTAGCGCTAATGTTAACTATGACTTGAACGTGAAAATCTATTTTTGATATGCCATCTATTTATGTATATGTCTCTGTACATGCATTACGATGCATTATGATGCATTACTGTATGTGTACTTTGCATGTCTAAGAGGAATCTTAGACTGTAGAACTAAATGTGTGAAGTAGCTGTTATATTATGAAGTCTCAGCTAGTACAGATCAATCAAAGAACTGGAGGCTAATCTCAAATATGTCATGGTTTTGCCCTATATGTAGTTAGATTAATTAATTTATGTGAAAGAAAAGACTCCAGGAAAATGTTATTGTCTGTGGTTGGTCAAAAGTGCATATGAAGCCGATTTATAATAGTAGGATATTTATTTAGGGTAACCTTTTGTGAACTTCAATTTGTGGGAGGTGATCGCCATAATATATATAACACTGGGCATTAGCTAGGTAATAGGTAGGCATAGCCTTCCATATATTGTGTTTTGGTACAGTGTACTTTCATGTAATGGGATGCACTCCTCATTCCGAATATACTGGTACATTGACTGCACAAATGTGATAATACCATCCCTTAAAAGTCAATGATAATACTAATAAACATGGATTCAGAAAATATACAATTGTAAATTGACTTGTATTGATATTTAACCAGAGCTTAGTTATTTTAGTTCAGTTTAAGACATATTTTTGAAAGAATGAGGAAACTGCTCTAACTTTGGTCAAGGCACCTTGTTCATTCAGTCAACAGTAAGTCAGAAATGCACAGAAATGTACAAAAGTTAGAATTATATTTTAAATTATTTATTTACATAACATTATGTCTTATTTATGTTTACATATTCATTACTGAACTTGTGAGAATAAGTTTACAAATATTATACAGTAGTCTCGCATCAAGCCCTCCCCATATCTGTCCTCCTATAAACCTTCCCCTATACATGTCCACCCCCTGTAAAACTCAACTCTCTTGGGTTGAAGTAAGTGTATGGGAGGAGCGGGGGGGGGGGCTCCAGAGACTTAATGCAAAACTAGTTGTATAGCAATAATACAGACGATGTATGACATCAAATTTTCAAACCATATTGTCTGTAGTTATATTACATTCATATAATGTGATTGAATGATTGTTACTATCTAGTATGCTGCACATCTGTATATCATGACAATTAAACTTTATCTCAATTATTTATTTTTGCAATAATTTGTTTTATCTTTTAGACATTGCTAATTAATTAATAACTGTAAAACCACAAATAGAAAAAGTCTATGGGAGATGGGAGATTCATTGAGATAGACTTAAGTCTTTAGGTTTGATTCCTAAAATTCGACCAGTTCATAAATGACTCATTATTTATACATGTATATAGTAATACCACAAGGAAGCATAATAGAAAATAATGGGCACATAGGGGTCGTCTCAACCTGATACAATATATCTCATTGTAATGGGAGGAAAATGGGCCATGGGGTTCAGTACCTTCATCAAGGTATACTCATTTATTTAAGAAGTAATCATGGCTCTGATGCAATCAAAATTGAATATTAATTCCTCGTATCATTTAACAACGATCACATTTTGTATTAGAACACTGATTGTGACCTCCCATCGCATATTGTATCCATTTCTAGGAACAAATTATGGAAGAGATGTGGGTTGAAGTATTTATGACTAATTCTCTGACAACTTCATTGGCCATATATTTGTGTTATAACAGTGTAAAAAGTATCACTAGATGTTTTCAAAAATGTACAAATTGTAACTTTTCTACCATGTTGGTGATATACATGTCATGTGTAACTATTTATTATTATATTCATATATGTCATGAGGTGAGACAATAAAAGGCTAAACAGCAGAATCATAATTGTATTTGTCTGTCGGCTAAATGTTAGAAATAGAAATCAGTCTCTTATTATCTCTCTTCATTGAGGATACATGTATACAGGTATATATTATATATAATTATTCCTGTGAAAATAGAATCTGTAAATGTTTTTTGAGATCTTGGATTTCTTATGAATCCACATATTGTTATGGTCTCCATTTTTATACGGCTGATGGTTGGTGGTTGGCGTCTGTAACAAATTCTTACAACTTCCAATAACTTAACAAATACTGTTTAGACTGACTTCAATTTTTTTCAAAACCTTCTACAAGTTTTCAGAACTTCAAATCTGACTTTATATTTAATATTTGGCCTTCAATGATCTTTTCAAGGTCAAATAAAGGTCAAAAAAGTGTTTTTTGAACATGCATCAAATTGACCAATCATTTTTTTCAAAATCATTTACAAGTTATCAGAAGTTCAAACCTGACTTTAGATTTGAGATTTGACCTTCAATGACCTTCTCAAGGTTAAAAAAGGTCAAAAAGTCATTTTTCCAACTTGCTTCAAATTGACCAATTGTTTTTTCAAAATCATCTACAAGTTCTCAAAAGTTCAAACCTTACTATAGTTTTGACATTCAATGACATTCTCAAGGTCCAAAAAAGATTTGACCTTCAATGACCCTTTCAAGGTAAAAAACTAGGTGGTGACATTTTGTCATGTTAATGTCTTGTACGTCTCTGCTCCAGCATACATAACAAAGGATAGATTTGAGATTTCACCTTCAATGATCTTCTTATGTTCAAAAAAGGTCTTTTTTCAACTTGCTTCAAATTGACCAATTTTTTTTTCTCAGAAATTGAAATCTGACTTAAGATTGAACTCATAATACTGTGAGCAACTAGGTGGTGACATTTTGTCATGTTAATGTCTTGTATATTTCTGCTCCAGCATACATTACATAGGATATTGCTAGAGAAGACAACTCATTCACACATTGCAGTTTTAAGTCAACCAACAGAGGACAACGCCAGTAAAGGAAATGTCAATTTTGAGGATCGAACATATAGAAACTTTGAATCAATCAAAAATGTCGAGTCTAAATCAAAAACTAAATGCTTTGACCAACTTGAGGGAAATATTAATTTAGTCATATTACATAATAACTGTGCAGACAAGATCTTTTCACAACAAATTCTTACAACTTCCTATACTGAACAAATACTTTTGGTCATCCAAATTCTTTAAATTCGTTGGAGGAATCCACCTTTCCTTTTAGGAAATAGAACATGTATCAACGCACATTCGAATTATGCGTTCAACAATATAATAAAGGTTGCATTTTTGATGAAAATTAGATTAACATTATTACAAAAGTATGTTGATTGGTCCATTGCTCCTTTACTATCACTTTTGATTAACTTAATTATCATTATATATACTTTTCTTGAACATAATGAATGGGTCTAAAAGATACACCCATGTTCATGATCAGAAAATATTCATAATTCAAGTTAAAATCGTCTAAAATTGTTTGCGATAATCTCCTTTAATGTTATTTCCAAATGTTAAATAGTTGAATGTGGGTGTGGCTCCTGAGGTCAAAGGTCAGATTTTCAAGTCTGTAATTTCAAGTTGAGAACATTCAACTAAATATGAAAAAATAAAAACAATGGACTCTGACCCCTAATTTTTATTTTCAAGTAACAAATTACTCCCTTGTAAAAGTAACCTTCAAATCTGAACCTTTCTAATTAAATTCGAACAGTGAACATTTATTGAAAAATTAGCCTGTGTAATCCGAACACTTTTCACAAAATATCACATATTTCTTGCATAATGGCTCAAATATTAAAAAAACACAGTTATGATATCAAAACTTTGGAAAAAACATCAAATTGTCCCAATTATAATCTGAACGGGTCTTTCGTGCGTTGTAAAATTCATTTGAATTTCGGAATGCCATGAAGCTATGTGGTCAATAGAAATATTAATATTCATTAAGAATTTTTATTTCTTTAAAATCCAGAATCGATCTTCCGGATGAAAAAAATCGAAATCCGAACAGCTCTTAATCCGAACGCTTTTAGCAGTTTAGCCGGTCCCAATCGCGTTCGGATTAGACAGGCTTTATTGTACTGTTTGAAATTATTCTGAATTCACTTCTTTGAAAATGGTATCTTTCTTCTTAAAACTGAGGAACTTTTGGCCTGGACCCACTTGGAAGCATTTTGCATTCATGATCTGACCTTCCCCCTAAATGATTGTTCACCCCCGTACATTTTCCCACGAACATTAACGACCTTATTTGTATATGCCAAAATGTCCTCAATTGATATATCTTCATGTACCTGTAAATGTTTAAAAAAAGAGAACATAAACTGTACAGTTAATTTTGATGAATATATCGTTTTATACATAGTGTCTTATAGGCCGAACACAGCCTGGGTTAAAAGTGCCCAAAACAATAGTTCGCTGTGAAAAGTTAATGTCAGTAATGTCCTTACTATTGAATTCAACAAGGCCATTGATTTTTTAATCACTTTTGAATTAATAATGTGGCTGATGAGAGTATTTCTTTACAAATGCATATTTAGCATTCCAAATGTTGGGGTGTCTATAATCACTTTCCACTCCACAGACCCCACTGACTCTGATTTTTCTCCCGATTGTTTTAGAAACCCTGTTTTCTCCTACACTTTGCATTCGTTTGACTTCACTGTAGTTTAGCTAGACTCTGCACGCAGGGTAGTTTTCTCCCGATTATCAAGAAAGAAAAGGAGCCCCGATATCGATTTTCACCCCGATTTTTTCAAACAACCCTGATTTTCCCGATTTCCCACAAGCCATCCTTCTATTTTCCAGACAGATAACCTTTTTTGCATATTCCCAAATGTTTGTCCAGTGTGGTACCGGAATTATGATGATACCTTCTTTCAAATTTTAGATATAATTTTTTTATTCTCCCCTATCCCCAATTTTTCAATTTCACTATTTCGATGTGTGTGCCGTTGCTAGGTGGTTGCTAGGCAACAGCATGGACCGAAATTATATTGGAACAATACCAAGTCATACATTCATACATATACATACTAAATCACTGATTGGCATTTGTTGTTCATCTTGAAATATGAATGCTAAAGACAAAAACAAGTTGAACTTGAAATTGCTGACTAATCAATTCCATGTTACATTGAAAATGGGATTTCGCGATACCAGCTATCTTTAAAAGTGTACAACTTCAGTTCTAGAAAAGCTTTCCAAATGATATCAAATGGTGAAAACATATTCTGGGAAAGCATGCTTTAATGGGAATAACGACAATACTTATTCCGGAAAGATAAAGATGATTTATCCCTAGGTTTATCATTGTTTGACAAAGGACGAAAAATTGATATCTTATTGCAGAATTTTTACCCTTTGCATTCGTACTTCACTTCTTATTAAGAGAGCTTCGTCTTCTTTCAGTTTACAATAAATCTATGATCTTACCGAGCCAATCAGAGTCCGTCGTCGAAATACGGACGACTTTCTAAATGGTCATTTCCTGTGACATCCCCGCATAGTTAATGAGCATGCATTTAGCACGTGTTCCTTCAACTCAGCTGATTGGTTGAGAAAGGTTTTTTAGTTTTTATGGTTTCTTTATTTTACTTTACAAAATTATCTACAAATGACAGGGCCGAGGCTGAAATCAGCATTATTGGCCCTGTTAATACAAAGTTTATTCAAATTTACAAAATAGCAACAAAATGACTACCAACATATATGTATGCATGGCAGGAATGTGTTAAAACTATATAATTATAATTTAATTATATCAATGCATTCACACAAAAAGGATGTAAAATGCTTCAATATTGAAGAATTGCATGTTATGCTAACTCCATCTCTGCCATACATTAAGATATTCAGCTTTTGCTCTATAGAGCATCCTGTAAAGAAAATGTTCATTTCTGGCATGTTCCTGAGTTCCCCCCAAAGTTTCTCTCTTATAACATTCAACAGAGGGCATTTGAAGATTAGATGCTTTGTAGTTTGTTGTTTAAAACCACAGATGCATTTGGGAAAATGGGGTTGAGAAAGGTTAAGTGTGATCGATTTGAAATGATTTATTACCAGTGCAGTCACAGACACCAATCTTCGGGGCGGAGCTGCTAAACTGTAATATTGTCCATACTAGGTGAGGGTAGTTTATCACAAGACTGCGATTGTACATTAGATTATAATGAAAATTGATTGTGAGTTTAACCAAATTTTTCGTACGTTACGGACTTTGAAGTTTATCCTGTGAAAAGTTCCTGAAAAATTATTGAGAATTGAAAAAGAGAAAGAGGGGGATGACTTGTTCTGTCCCGGCTACTACCTAATTTGTTGATAGCTTATTTTTAGGTCTCTCAGAATAAGGAATTACATTATTATATTTTATTTTGCTTTAAATAACTTAAAATCATATTCCAACATTTGTTTGATTTGATAATGACATGACTCAAATCCCCATATTCATTGTTTGCGAGTGATAATCTATTACACATCTTTCATTTTTCTGACACTAGCTCAGATAGTACAATTCAATACAAAATAGCGAGATTAAAACTTGCGCAACATCTCTTAATTCGTGTTAGGTGTAACATAATATTATCCATCTGAACATGTAAAGTAGATTTGTTCAAAAGATTTCTTGAAAACAAACTTTTAAAGTTTCGAAACAAAATATAACAAAAATAGTCTCTTGTTTCATAAAATGTATTGTCTTTAATTACATTTTTTGACGTTATATCTTTTATAAGTTTAGAGACCAGTAGAGTGATATCAATAATGACAGTTACGATTACTAGTTCTGATACACGGGAGTATATTTTGAGAAAATGCGGGCATAATTGGTGATGTTAATTAACAAAATGGAACACCCTGTAGAACTGGAATATATAATACTGTCTATCCACAAAACATACCATAAAAAGCTGACTTTTAATAGGCGATCATCGTTAAAATGGAATGTACAATAAAAGTACAGAAATACATTTCGGCGTTATTAGGAATTATTGGCATGTTATTCTGTGGAATTGTGTATGGTTGGAACATTTTTGCAGTTGCGCTTAAGAAAAAATTCAACGGTACACAAACAGATATTGAGAACATCGCAACAAGTGGTGCATTAGGGATATGCATTGGGAGTTTTCCGGCAGGAATTGCATTTGATAGATTTGGACCAAGAGTGGCGTCTATATCAGCTCTTGTACTAACTGGGTCTGGATATACTCTGATGTGGATGACAACACAATACAGAGGGTTTTTTGCTTCAAATATTTGGCTGATGTGCATTATATACTTTGTCACAATGCTTGGAAACAGTTTCACTTTTATTGCCAGTCTTAGTACTAACTCTATCAATTTTAAGGGAAAGCACCGTGGCAGTATTGTTGGTATACTCAGTGCTGTGTTTGGCTTTAGCCCTGCGATTTTTAGCCTTATCTACGACAGTTATTTTATACAAGGACACATTTTTGACGAGCAGAACCAAAGAGTTGCAGAGTTTATGATATTCCTTGCTATTTGCTCTGTTTCTGTTAATCTGCTGGGCGTTGTGGGTTTAAGAATAGTGCCGGAAGAAACCATGCCGATTTCAGAAGACACAGAATTAAGGCCCATGGATATTACAAATGCAAAGGACAAAGAAAATACTACGACTGATAATCTAGTAAACAAGAAAACAGAGAAAATAGGAGGTCCGAGTGATAAGACTCCGCTGATTCAAAATGACTTTTCCAATAAACCAGAACTTAACGTTTGTCAAGTTGTTAAAACATTAAGATTTCATATTTTGTTTTGGATAGTAATCATAATAGGTGGTGTTGGTGCATCGTTCAAAAACAATATCACAACTGTCGTGAAATCTGCCCACCTTGAGGCAAAGACAACATCGTTTACAGTTATCATCCCAACATGCTGCTCAGTTGCACGATTTCTAAGTGGAATATTTCCTGTTTGGATTATAGATAAATGGAAGAAACTGCCGAAATCCTCAATTCTGCTTTTCTCATCGTTTTTCACATTAGTTTGCCAAACCTTATTTATTTTTTACAATCAGGACTTTTTAAGCTTGTTTACTAATTCCATGGTTATGAGTGCAGCTTATGGAGCCTTTTTTGTATTAATGCCTATAGTTGTCATTGAGTTATTTGGTAGCAAATACTTTGCACAAAACTTTGGTTTACTGAATATAGCAAATGGGATTGGGATATTCAGTTTTCAAAAACTGTTTGGTGAACTGTATGAATCAAACAGTCCACCGGGGTCCATAGATTGTTATGGCGAGCTTTGTACTAGATGGTCATTTGCTATATCTGCCATCATGGCACTGTTTGCTACTTGTCTCAATGTGCTTCTGATGTATGCCGAGGTCCGGTTAGTAGGCAAGTAATACATACAGTATGCCATAATGTGCAAATTGATCAAGAGTGAGTATAAGCGCCCCGGCTTGAAAGTCTTACTTTTTGTTAAAAGTACATTATAGTTCACACTAACACATCTATAAACATATCTATAAAAAATATTTTAGTCCTATATGTTTCTAAAATGCCTTCATATAAGACATTCACATGTAAGAAATGCAACTCATCGTGTAATTGTATAATATTTCATTTTCTGCATTGTAATCAATTTTTATCTGAGAGAGACGCATTTCTTGAACGACTCATTGATATCTTACCAGTTAAAGATAGTGTAATGCTTTTCAATTTTGATGATGATATTTTCTTACAGACTGTTCTGGGTAGCAGAATAGATTTTGATGTAGCCAATGACACCATTTATGAAATGTTCGTTATCGAATGTGCAAATACATTTTACAATATAAATATGTATTTCAAATAGGTACGCTTGAATTGTAATGATAAAATGTATTTAGAGTCATTTAACTTGTAAATATGTAAATATTAATAACCCTTTACTCTTCTGTAATATATGTTTGTAATGTGATATGCATGTATAAATTGTTTTGCTCTCCAATAAAACGGAGGAAATAAAGAAACATAAACATAAACATAGAACTTGGACCTATGTTTATATCTATTTCTATAGTTTGAGCATAGAATGAAAAGTAGTATGAATAAAAAAGGAACTTAAATCAAATAAAATTGTACTTGATAAAACGGTTGATAATGGTGAAAATGAATGTGACCCTTTTTGAGTCAATCATGAACAGATTTTATAATTATAATTTCTTATTCAAATTAATGTAATGGGTGACTGGGTCTATACACAAATACAGGCTAAATTGAATTCATTTGTGTTAAAAGATACGACCAATTCCATATAAAATCTATATAAAATAAATCAAAACAGTTTCATTCAATTATGAAGAGTATTTTGATTAACATGGCACAAATTTAAAAACATTTATTTTGATTCATCAGAAATAAACTGATCATCTCCATTTATAAATTAAATCAAATCTTAAATTATTCCAAATCAAAATACATACATTTGAAAATACATTAACATCATTCCTTGGTTTTTCTAAAATATAAATAAATAATACATATAACATGCAAAAAATCTATTGAAATAGTAATTTTCACGCTTTTATTCAAACTGATCATACATAGGATTGTAGCAAAATAATCTGACCTATACACACAAATCCAATTGGAAATAGAAACTACAAATATTTCTTGGACTTGGAGACTTGGAGAAGGGTAACTGTAATATTTAAACCAATGAGCATAGTATCCCTTATTTATTGTTGGCTTTACGAAGGGTTACTGTAATATTAAACCAATGAGCATAGTATCTCTTATTTATTGTTGGCTTTAAGAAGGGTTACTGTAATATTAAACCAATGAGCATAGTATCTCTTATTTATTGTTGGCTTTAAGAAGGGTTACTGTAATATTAAACCAATGAGCATAGTATCTCTTATTTATTGTTGGCTTTAAGAAGGGTTACTGTAATATTAAACCAATGAGCATAGTATCTCTTATTTATTGTTGGCTTTAAGAAGGGTTACTGTAATATTAAACCAATGAGCATAGTATCTCTTATTTATTGTTGGCTTTAAGAAGGGTTACTGTAATATTAAACCAATGAGCATAGTATCTCTTATTTATTGTTGGCTTTAAGAAGGGTTACTGTAATATTAAACCAATGAGCATAGTATCTCTTATTTATTGTTGGCTTTAAGAAGGGTTACTGTAATATTAAACCAATGAGCATAGTATCTCTTATTTATTGTTGGCTTTAAGAAGGGTTACTGTAATATTAAACCAATGAGCATAGTATCTCTTATTTATTGTACATCGTTTTTTAACTAGAAGACTGTAAGCATCTTTATGATTTGAACAATCTGTCAGCCATATTGACTATAAATCCTTTGCTTGGAGATGGGCTTTTGAAAAATGTCAATCTATAATTCAAAACAGTATTCAGTGTATATTCACTTTTAAAATGTGTAATAACTAATAATTGTGCGCCATATAGACATTTATGTATTAGTTTAATGCATATGTAAGATACAATAAAGAAATTACATAAGCTGACACGGTTGAAGCATTTATGAATGTCAATTTATCGTAGCAGAACTTATATAACTTGTTATATTACATTTGCTAAAACTTGGTAACCCCCCTATCACACCGGTAACTGGTCAACTCAACCCCAAGTCAACTCAACCCAAGTCAACTCAACCCTTAGTCAAGTCGACCCCAAGTCAAGTCGACCCTTAGTCAAGTCGACCCCAAGTCATCTCGACCCTTAGTCAACTCGACCCCAAGTCATCTCAACCCTTGTAGGCTAGGCAAATGGAAGTTTAACATCCCAAAAATTGCAACAGTTTTTAAATTAGGCTTATATTGTATATTGATACCAGTTGAAAAACATATCAAAAATATAGAAAAATATATGCAGTGGACAAATATGAAATGTCACATTCCAGGTACCCCCCTCCAAATTTGAGTATGGGATTGTAAATATTTTTTTATTTCAAAATGGAATACTCTTGTCAACTAAACGAGTAATATTATGATAGTTTACTGACATAAGAGCAACTAAAAATTGTTAACCAACTATTTGAGTGCAATAATTGGCATTTCTAGCGCCAAATATCTGAAAATAGGCCATCAAATAGCCCGAATTTAATATAACAATGTATTTATTTCTGTATCAATTCATCAGAATTGCATGAAAAATATCTAGGAGGGTATTGTACACCTGAACATTGTCTTTGATAAGTATCAGGGTCATTAAATGAATATTGAGCGTGAAAATAATATTTGAAATTTCAATATTTTACCACACCCACTTTTGGGGTGACCTTACTTTTGTTTAATTACTTCCAAGATATGTCACATTTGAACTCAATAGCACAACTAAATTATTTGTAAAGGCTTATTTTGTCCCGAAAACAGTTTTTTGAGGTTTTCAGAAAAGGATTATGCAAAAAAAGTAGAAAAACAGCAAATGCCAGGTGAAATATAGGGGAAGCCCTACTTTTAGTTGATAACTGTTAAATTATCAAATGTTTTCTCCTTTTAAATTCAATTTGATATATAATATACCTTTTCTGATAAAACAGAGAACGATTTGTTACAATCAGTGGTCAAAAAATGTCCTTGAAAAGGCAACAAAATGTTAAATATCCCTGTCACTGACATCAGTTTATTAATATGAGCCAAAAAAGGTAACCCAACCAAATGTTTGTTAATAACCCAGTCATTCAGCATGGGTTTGACATCATATTTACCACAATTACCTTGTTCAATGTTCTTTCATTCTACTAAGTGTCATTGATCTATCCTTAATAGTCACGATTTTATGGCCATTTACAAAATGTGCTCAAAATATCGAAATGTGCCTAACTGACTGGACATCAATACCACCAGTTTTTTTTTTATCTGTGGACCTTTTGTCGATACTAACAACACTTGAAACATTAAAACAAGAGATAAGAATGAAGATGAGAGTCATAACACATGATTTTTATGCTCCTGATTTGAACAACACGATACGTTCAAGTTGGCCTCCAGGAATGACACCCATATTTCATGGCATGGTATAAAATGGCCATAAAATCTTGACCACTAGAGACCACTGAGACTGGGTAGATTGATAATACATTGACCAAGACTCAATTCTGCCAAATATGACACTAAATCCATGCAGGATGATTGGACTGGATTATTAAGATTTGTTTGGGTTACCTTTTTGGCTCGCCCTGTATTAAGGAAAAATTGTTACTTTTGAATAAGGTGTTCTTAACCACACAGTGATATTGAGAAATGAAATGAAGAAGTTCAATTGAAGAATGTTCGATTTCAAGATGAAATTCAATAAAAATGAGCCAAAGGTTTCTACATTAATAAATCCTCTTGAGTTAACTAGTGTAACGCAAAGTAAATCCCTGGTCTTTATACAGGGCCTGGTTCGATTATGTTATGTTCATTATCGAAAATGCTGCCTTAATTTTGATATCTTAACCTTCATATATGTGTCTTACTTATAGAGAGCAAAAAAGAATGCTGATTAAATAAGCTTAATACTATTATGTTTTAACAACAATCAGTTACAACCTTGTCTATCACCAGCCTTCATCAGGGGCGGATATGGGAACCAACAAGGGGGGGGGGCAAATGTCAGGTCTGAGAAAAAAACTTCCGGGGAAAAAATTTTGGGCCCCTAAAACCCTGAAGTGGGCCCAAATTTTGAAATATTGAGACCCATTTTCTTCAATTAAAAAATAAGGCTTTAAATGGCCCATTTATGACCAAAAAGGCCTACTTTTCGGGGCCTTAAGGCCTTTTTTGGGCCCAATTTTTTTTTAGTCATCATTATTCTCATGATCAGTAATGGAGGTATTTGCACAAATGCCTTTGCATACCTTTTTCATTTTTCTACAAGAACATCTCATAGAAATACAATCTGCCTTACACACACAATGGATGATCTCTGAGAAAGGGGAGCTGCATTTAGGCAATTGGTACAGTGGCGTAGCCAGAAATTGGTGACCAGGGGTTCGATTTTTTTATGTTATCCACAACCCTCCCCCTTCATCGGTGTACCTCACATAAAAGCATTTTCTGTATTTGTCATACATACAATTCATTCTTTAGTTAGAGTTCAATGACAGATATGTCAAATTCTGAAACATGCGATTCCCACACTTTTAGCTGATTTTTGAAAAGATTCCAAATCAAAAGATGTTTATTTCATTTTGTTATAGAGGAGTTCCTAATAACCTCATGAACTTACAGTAACTTACTGAATACTAGTATATTCAATAGCAAATATTTTTGAGAATTTATAATACTTATTTAATCATGGCGCACATTGACAGATGAAAAATAGTAAATTGAATGGAATGAAACAGTCTGAAATTCCAAAAAGACCAAATTAAAATAACAATTGATCAACTGTGCTCTGTAACAT